ATTGCTGATTACTCTACCTACAGTCTCTCTTAATTTTCACAAGTCCCCTATGAAATAATGTGATGATCTTCATTTTACAGATAGGGAAAGTGAGGTTTAGAGAAGTTACATGCTTGAGAGACACTATAGCTTTGAGAGAATCCATCTGATGTAGTTGTTCAAGCCAGAAGACTGCCGTTCCAATACTGGTGCTCCCTGCCACTTTTTAGCTGGGTAAATATGGCGAGCTGCTTAACCTTTCTGTGCCTCAGTTTTCTTATCTGTAAATTCCTACTTCATAAGGATGTTGTGGGTATTGAATGAATCAATACATATAAAGTGATTACTGGTACTTGACACATGATAAGTATACACTTTATTAAAAGGAGACGTCAAGCTTGGATTGCTTCGGGCCACTTGTACGGTCTCCTAAAAGTAAAGACTCTAACAGTTCTCCTTATGGATATTATTAGGAAATGGATCCTAATAATGTGTCCTGCCATGGTAAATTTCTCCTTTGTGCGGCAGATTCATCTGAGGAGCTTTAAAAACTATAGATTTTGGGGGCTCCTGAGTGACTCAGCTGGTTAAGTGTCTGACTTTGGCTCAGATCATGAGCTCATGGGTTCGTGAGTTTGAGCCCCGCATTGAGCTCTGTACTGACTGCTTAGAGCCTGGAGCCTGCTTTGGATTCTATGTCTCTGTCTCTCTCTGCCCCTCCCCTGCTTGTGCTCTGTTTCTACCTCTCTCACAAAAATAAATATTTAAGAAAAATTTTTTAGAACTATAGACCTTGATTCGGTAGGTGTGGGGCAAGGCCCAGGCATCTTCATTTTTCTGAAGCTTCAAGAGATGTTTCAGTGTAGTCAGTGTTGTGCCTGATTCGCGAGTCCCCAGAGACCACCAAGGAGCCGACACCGATGCAAGTACAAAAGGGTCTTTATTACAAGCTCGAGCAGGGGCTCACCCGCCTACTGGTGTAGTGGCAGCAAGGTGAAGCCCTAAACAATAGCGAGCAGGGTTTTTATGGGGTAAGGGATGGAGGTATTACAGTGCACACATTATACATAAAGCATCATCACATAAGCAACAATAAAAATTGAACAGCACCCATGGTAACAGCTTTGACCATTCAGTATCTGTGAGGTGTTCGTTACTTTTGGTGGGACCCAATCATGACTTTTGAGAATCCTTTGAAAGTGACCAATTATGAGGTGAGTTCAAAGGGCCCACGTGGGGTTCAGGCAAGCGGTGAGAAATTGGCTAGTTTGTATAAAATAACTGTCTGCAGTTTCCAGCCTTGACTCAGACCATAGGAGTGTTTTTTGATTAGCTGATCTGAGGGTGGTCTGAGGATGGCTTTAGCCTTGAACAATCTGAGGCTTTTCCTGGAACTGGGGCTACGTGCAGCCTGAGGTTGCTCTTAATGGAGGCCTTAATCTCAAAATGATGTTACTTAGGCTCTTCATCAGAATTGCAAGTCACATTCATAGTACTTAGATTTTTTTTTTTTTACAAAGTTTACTAAGTTCTTCCCTGTAATAAGACATTTATTCAGTGCTTGCTATATGCTACACAGTAAGTGCTTTATTCGTTCTTTTATAATGTTTATTTTTGAGGGGGGAGGGACAAAGAGAGGGGGAGAGATGATCTGAAACGGGATCTATGCTGATGTGGAGCTCAAACTCATGAGCCATGAGATCATGACCTGAGCCAAAGTCCGGTGTTCAACTGGCTGAGCCACGCAGATACCCCACTAAGTGCTTTATTCGGATTTCTCATTAAGACCCCAACAGAACCTGCATGAGTTAGGTAATTATTATCATTCACACTTTACAGGAGGAAAAACCAAGGAAGAGAAAGCCTAAGGAACTTGCTGAAAGTCACTGAGCTAGCTGGTGGCAGAGCAGGGATTTAAAGCCAGGTGCACTAATGCCAAGGCACGTACGCTTAACTACTAGCCTGTACCGCCTTCCCACGTCCTGTCTAATTTGAACTTTGCCTTGAATCTGTGCAGTAAGCTGCTTTTGCCATCACCCACCCTGTCTGCTTATAGATGAGGAAACTACAACTAAAGACTTGACCAAATATACACAGCTAGTCAGTGTATATACGCTGGGGCTTTCCCCTGGGTCTTATAACTTGAAATCCTATGTTCTTTTTATATTGTAGAGAACTTTAAATAACCAAAGATGGTAGTTATTTGATAAGGTCTTTCATATGCATTACTTTCTTCTCTTTCCTGCCGCGAATTTCTGGTCCACACCTTCATCCCATAGATTACTCAGGCCAGGGCTTCATGCACAAGCCTTCTTCTGTCTTTGTCCCTTTTCTGCACACTACTTCTGGCTTCATCTTCATCCACTAAATGTAGAGATCATCAAGAAACTCTCTTTTTAAAACATTTCAAAAATTTCCCCATTTTTACATACTGTATTAAATGCATCCACAATAATGAGTACTAATAAATGTACTAATAGCAATTGAAGTAATATGCCACTACCTTAAAATGAAGAAAATAATTGAATATGCAATGAAAAGAAATCAAGTTAGTAAATTTTAAAACTAAGTAGTAATTACACATGTTAGTTTATCTTATGAGGTCCTCCTGTATAGTCTGGACCCCAACTGCCTCTCCAGTGTCATCTCCCCAACACTCTGCCCCATGCTTTTGTCCCTCTGTTTTAGCCAAATTGATTTTTTGGCCCCTCAAAACCAGCCACACTTCCACCTACCACGTTCCCACAACATAGATCACTGAGAGAACACACTCCAAAATGCTAGGGAAAGTGAATAATACAACCAATATAGGACAATCAGCTCCTTTAAGAGGAACTGTGCTTTCACGGAAAAGATCCTAGAATTGCCGTAGATATTTTGTCAATGATCTGGATATCTAGGTTCTTGTCCTGATTAACTCTGATCTTAGATAAAATATTTAACAGATATGTGACTTAGTTTTTCCACCTCTAAAATGAAAAAAAAAAATTAGCATGGAGGCAGGAAACACAGGCACATATGCCAGCAGCTCTCTGCTCCCACAACTTTCAAAGGGGAAAAAAATTACTGTCAAGAACATAATAGATAAACTAAATCAGCTACTTCAATTGTTGAATGCAATTAATGGTTACATTTGTTCTGTGATAGGGGAATATTAGAAAATTTTCTTCCAAAACCTACCTCTGCCAAAACCTTCCTCTACCTCTACCCCAACCTGTGCCCAATCACATGTCTCAGTCATACTATATTTATTTATAGAACTGCTTTGCAAAAATAAATTATCCAGTATAGATATTTATGAATAAACGGGATAACAAATGGAGAAGTATGGCCACTTTAGAAGCCATTTAACATCCGTGCTTCTTTCTTTTTGTAATAGTAACCACTACTTTTCTTGAGGGCTCTACCCTCTACCTCCTTCCCTACTCTCAGACGTGTGGGATGAGTTGGCCCTATCCAGGCTTCATTCCCTCAGTTACAGTGATGATCAGGATATAATTGGAATGAAGGAGATACAGTGGGGGACTTCTGCTTACAATTGTGCCCTTTTCTGCTAGACTTGAGTCTGGGAAGATGCACTCAATATCTTGAACGATCCACTCTCCTCATCTCTTCCCCCTGGTCCAGCCCTGAAGAAACCTGGTCTGCACAATGTAAGTTCCCCCAATTTCTAGTTGAGTTCTGCCAATTAGAAGTCCCAGCAAGAAATCAAAAGGCAAGAGAAGAGAGAGGTTGGGGTATTATTCCCCCGACTTCTCCTTGGTGGGGTCTCCTTGACTGAAAATCACAGCTCCTATGAGACAGTCCTCTCTAAGTTTTAGTAGCTTATCCCCTCCCCAACCTTTGAACGTTTAGACACCACCCATTTAGTACACTGACCCTAGATTACCCACTTTAAGTGCCATTATCCTTCCTATCTTTGACCCTGGGTAAAAGGCTGGAGCTGCTCACAACCTTCAGGTCATCTTGTGGCATCTAAGAGAAGATCAACATGAAGGAGACCAGAGCTAAGAGAGCTAACGGTACTGAATCCTGGCCTTGCTGGCTGGGGCCTGATTCCAGTTATGCCTGAGGCTGTCACACACACTAATGTTTCAGTTGCATGAGCCAGTATATTTTCTTTTTTGTTTAAAACATTTTGAGTTGGTATTTCAATTGCTTGAAATGGAAAGAGTCTTAATTAAGGTATAACTAAAAATATAGCTCTAAAGTGAAGATGTATGGATCCCCAATCCTAAAGCCTCTCCATTTGATCTAAATGCAGAACTACCTTCCCATGAGGCCCAATCCTCAGAAGATTCTATTTTCAGGTTTCTCTGAGATTTTGTCTCCCTTACACAAATTGTGTATCCTTACAGAATTCACAGTCTTTACTCAAGCTAACATGTGTGAGTCTCTGTTCCTTGGAGCAAAATGAACATAATAAAATGGCTCCTATTTTACAGATAACAAAGTGGAGGCCAAGATAAATGAAGAAACTTCACTTAAAGGTGACGTCAAACCTTCCTGGACTTAGCAGGTAGGTCTTCTGGCCCAAGATCGTTCTATGCTCCTTTTTTCCTCCTTCCCTTATGCTTTTCTTTTCCTATTTGCCTTAGTCATTTGTCACCCTGCGCCCTAGTAGCCTAGGACATGTCACATTATCTCAGGGCCTTGATGCTAGCCAACTGTCAGAGAACAAAAGTCATGGGTTTGTGCTTCTCTGGGTTTCTATCTCCGTGTGTATACTCATTTGGCATTTAGCATGTGCTAACCTATGAAGGTTTGGGGGATGCTTGACAATGTTAACATGTACTTTTATTTAGTCCCCCAAGTATTCATGACCTGCCATGTCAGGTGAGAGTAAATTTATCTGGTATCTGATTCATCTTGGAAAAATCCAGAGTGCCTAGCACAGTATTTAGCTCATGTTAAATAATCACTCAGTACCCATTGACGAGATTGACTAAAAGGATTTTATGTTATGCAAATACTGTCTAAGCTGCTGAAGCAAAATTATGGTAGCTCCAACATGACTTAAGTTTACTTCTCTCCAGTTGCCCACAGATGGGCAGACAGTCCAGGGTAGGTGAGGGTCTCTGTTCTTTGAAGTCATCTAGGGACTCTGGTTCTCACTTCTTGCTCTGCCACCTTCTAGGGTATTTTTCTTCCCATGATCAGAGCTGGCTCACTAGTACCACATTCACATTCTGGCCTAATGATAGGAGGAAAGGGAAAGTGAAGGGAAAGCAGGTAACTTCCTTATTAAAATGCGATTCAAATATGCACGTATTATCTCTGCTTGAGGCTTATCAGCTAAAACATTGTCACACGGTCACATTGACTTGCAAGCGATACCAGGAAATATAGAATCTAAATGCACAGCCATGTGGTCAGACATAACTCAGAGCCCGAGTGCTCAAAGAAAGACAAGGAGCCATTTGATCATTCAACATCCATGAAATGACTAAAATTAAAAAGCTTAATGATACCAAGTGGGTAGGAGAAGAAAATGGCATGTGCACCTTAGCGAATGCTTTGGTCGTTCCTCTTGTAGGCATTTACCTAAAAGTACTGAAAACCTATGCCCACAAAATGACTGGTACAGAGTGCTCATAGAAGTCTTATTCATAATAGCCCAAACCAGGAAACAAACCAAATGTCCATCGACAAGAGAATGATGGAACATGTGGTATATTCATGCAGTGGAATGCCAGTCGGCAACAGAGGAACAAAGTACTGATACACGAAATAGCCAAGGCTGACTTATCCAATTGGCACAGTAGGCACAGTGCCCAGGTCCATGAGTATATTCTAATTTCTTTAAAATCAGAAGGAAAAAATGAACTGTCAGGCTGAAGAAAACATTTTATTAATATATAATATGGATATGTTTGTTTTTATATATATTTTATTATAATATATATGTAATTATATATAATTATATAAAATAATTTTTTAACTTCATTTTTTATGAAGAAAGGGGCCCATGAAGTCGCAAGGGCCCTTGGAGGTCAAAATGCAGCCCTATAAACAACAGGGATGAGTCTTAAGAACATTATGTTGAGCAGAAAAAACTTGGGGCACAAAAGAGTATATGCTGAATAATTTTATTTAATGAAGTTCTGTAACAGACAAAACTACTCTGTATTAATAGAGGTCAGAAAATGGTTTCTTCTGGGATGGGGAGGGATTGCCTAGAAAGAAGAACGAAGCTGCTTTCCAGGATGACAGAAATGTTCTGTATCTTGTTTTAGGTGGGTTACCTAGGTGTATACACAGTTGTCTAAAGTCATGCAACAGAACATTTAGGACCTGGGTATTTTACTGTATAGCAATTATGTCACAACAAAGAAAAGGAAAGAAGGGGAGAATGGACACTGGGGACAATTAATTTCTGCAACGGATTTGATGAATGAACTCTTGAGCAGTGCTAGCAGACAAGATTTTAAATTGTGTTTTAGTGGAAAAGCTTTAGGAACTCAAAGGGAAGGGTGCAAACACTGTGACAGGTCAGTGGGGAATGAATCACTCTGCTTTGTATCATTCGAGGTCTTTTATTGCAAGCAAGAGAAAGTAGCTCTGCCTAGCTGAAGCAGAAAACAAAATTATTGGAAGAATAACAGAAACTATAAAGAACAGGCTCTGTAAACAGGCAGGAATTAAGGAGGCAAAACACAAGAAAGGATCACACCATCAGCTGTCTGACAGATCAGAGGATGATGCCCTTATCCTGTGCCTTTGTCTCGCCCAGTCCAACACTATCTCAGGCTTGCACTGCATCTACTTATTACTCCCCCAGAAGTGAAAACCTGGATGGCAGTATCTGCTGAATTGAGTCTGGGTCTCACCTACATGTAACAATTCCCAAGGAGTTGGGTGAGGAAACACATGGTTCACTTGACTTCTAGAGGGAGAGGTGGGGTCCTGTGTTCCACATACTTTGGAATTCCCAAAAATAGGGATAGCGTTTGAATGCTGGGCAGCCCAAAATAACCAACATTTAGGACACAGAGTTTAGGAATCTCTGTTCCGACTCCTACTTGTGATTTTGATTCCTGTCTGGGACTTCCCAAGATCCAGGGCAGGCCCACTGTAGATTGTTATGTTCTAAACACCACTGACCTGAGAGAGTGAACCACAGGATCAGGTGTAGAAGATCATCCTGGCTCACCAGCTGGGACCTGGGCAGGGAAACCAGTTTTACTGGTAAGCTATGGTGAGAGCGAGAATTACACAAGAGAAATATCTGAAAGGCAGATAGGATGACAGGATTTGGTGATCAATCTGGACTGTGGAAAGGCCAGGAAACAAGGAGTCAAAAGGGATAGCCCAATTTCTGACTCGAGAGAGGAGGGGTGAGGAATGTGAAAATATATAGGCACAGTGAGACTCAAAAGAGAGGCAAGGAGGAAATCTGTTTAATTTCGGTTCGGGGTAGTTGGATGGGAACGGTTAAGGTTCTGACGTGTTGAATTCGAGACAGAGATGCCCAATACAAACTGAAATTACAGATTTTAGAAACAGACCAGCGAAGGCGAAGGTCAAGTCTGTTGGCTGAGGCCTTGGGTAAGGGTGAGCTTAGCCTAAGTGGCGGCACGAAGGTCGGAGAAAGATGCCGGCGATTGCTGACATTTAGGAGGCGGTCTCCAAGCTTCCCACCCAGCCGCGCTGCGCACGTGTTCGAGGCCCGCCCCGCGCCCTCCCCCCAGGCCCCGCCCCCTCTGGGCGGGGCGAAGCAGCGGCTCAGCTAAGTCACCGGAAGACTCTGTCGGGTAGGGCCGGCGCTGGGGCCGCCTGCGACCCTCGCGCACATTTGGGAGGGGCATCCGCCAAATGGGGCGAGGGGACGCGCAACCGCGGGCACCGGGGGGTTCCCTGATGCCAGGGCCCGCGGCGCTAAGCGCGGCGGCGGCGGCGGCACTGATGGCCGCCTTGTTCCTGCTGTGGCTTGAGGACGCGGGGCCAGGGGCCGGCTCCAGGTAACCCCTCCGTGCTGGGGACCGAGCTAGGCCCCCGCATCCCAGTGGGCGGAGGAAGAAGCCCTTGGAACCGGAGGTACCGGTGAAGAACCACGCCCCTGGGTGCCGTGGCACCTGGGCGCATTCTCCTTAGGGCCCCTTCTGAGCAGTAGATTGCCTTGGGTGCGGGGATGGCCAGGGCGCCACGCCCTGCAGGTGATTCAGCACTTTCCCCTGGGCCCATACCGCGGAGAATAATACCTTTTTTCTAGAACAAATAAGCCGCCATTGTTACCCATGATAAGCAAGGGCCAGCCCTTAAACATCCTAAGACCGCATCTGTCGATGTTATTTCTGTAGCATGGCCAAGACTGAGGCGCTGGCGAAGCTTCGGGAAGACTTCAGGATGCAGAATAAATCTGTCTTTATTCTGGGTGCCAGCGGGGAAACCGGCAAAGTGCTCTTAAAAGAAATCTTGGAACAGAACCTGTTTTCCAAAGTCACGCTCATTGGCCGGAGAAAGCTCAGCTTCGATGAGGAAGCTTATAAAAACGTGGTGGGTATTTTAGCTGGGACTCAAAAATGTATTTGCAGTGGTTCTGCGGAGTGAACATATTTTTATACCTAAAGGCTGAACATTGCCCGTCCAGTGGTAGAGTAGAGGTGATCAGAATGTGGCCAAGAATAGTCTGTGAGACCCTTCCCTGGAAGCTTTTGTCGTGGATTTAAGCCCAGGTCGGACTTCCTACTCTCTGTGTGACCTTGGGCTAAGCCCTTATTTCAATCTAGACTCGTATAAGACAGCCCTTGATTGTAATGGGGGCTGGGGAGACAGAGAAGAGCACATTTTCAGGGCCATTCAAGCTGGGCTCTAGAAGCAGACCTGTAACCCTGGGCAATGTTCTCAACCACTTTGCTTGTTTTGTTTACCTGTCCACTCCATACTAATGTCAGGGAATTGCGAGCAGAGTGAATGGCAGTGAAAGGTGCGGTTGTTCACTTATAAGAATTGCCCTCTTAACTTCCCAGGGCTGCAGGCCTAGTGGAATATTCTTTTCACTGTAATGCTTACATGGTTAACCAAATGATATGCCAGATTCCCCTAAATATTTGAAGTCTGAGCTTTGTAGAGATTCCTTTCTTCATTTAAAGGGAGTTGTGAACTGCAGTAAATTATAATGTAATCCTGAGACCCCACAGCTATAGAACTTGGTCACACAGGCTTTACAGGTGAAACATTCTAGATAACAAAAGTCTCACAATGTGTGTTCTTTTTTTCTTTTCTTTTCTTTTTTTTTAAATTTATTTCTGAGAGAGAGACAGCATGAGCAGGGGAAGGTCAGAGAGAGAGGGAGACACAGAATCCGAAACAGGCTCCAGGCTCTGAGCTACCTGTCAGCACAGAGCCCAACGCGGGGCTCGAACCCACAAACTGCAAGATCATGACTTGAACTGAAGTCGGACGCCCAACCGACTGAGCCACCCAGGCACCCCACACAATGTGTGTTCTTAACCCCTATATATCCATGGCCAGTCATTTTGCATAGATCTTATGTCCATCAGGACTTTTTAATTTAAAACGGACATCTTTGCTCAGAGTTAGGTAATAAGTGGTTTTCATAGTCTGGCTTCATGGAGTATCAAATACCTCTGGTAATTAAAAACTGAAATTGAGTTCTGTACTTTGATAAACGAGTTCTGGTGGCACATCTTTTGGTCAGGCCCTTAATGGAAACATACTTTTCTTCAGCATTGCATGTAGTGCCAGGAAAATCCTTTTGAAGGAGTTGATGGTAGGGAAGGAAAACTACATTTTATTTGAATTCCTGAGTGATGGGAACTTCTCAATCTTTTGTTTTTTTAATCTTTATTTATTTTGAGAGAGAGCATGCACGTGCACACACAAGTTGGGGGGGCAGAGAGAGAAGGGCAGAGGATCCTAGGCAGGCTGACAGTATAGAGCCCTATGTGGGGCTTGAACCCACAAACCAAATCCACAAACGCAAAATCATGACCCAAACTGAAATCTGACGCGTAACTGCTTGAGCCACCCAGGAGTCCCTCAATCTTTCTTTTTTAGATTTCACAACAAATTTATGAGGTCACATTTGTTAAATTTGAGGGAGCATGAAAATTACTGAGGGTGCTTTTTAAAGGGCATTTTCTGCTTCAGAAGTATGTGTTCAACACCTAGGAATCAGCCTTTCTATCAAAGCATTCACAGGCTGATTCTAACATAGGTGAGAATTGGACTGGAGGAAAGATTATCATTTACATTTTATTGCTGAAAAAACTGAGGCACCTGGTAAATAACTTGGCCAAAATCACAGGCTTAGTAAGTAGCAGGCTCAAGAGTTGAACCTAGGTCTTTGAGATTGCAAATACCATTCCTTGTCCTGACATTCATTATACCTGATTGGTATCCCTCTTGCTAGTATAGACAGGTCTTTTGTTTTTCCAAAGAGAAAATGATAATCGAACTTGACTTTAGACTTCTAGGGATCACTTATAGTCCAATTATGTGTACTGTGGACATCTAAGTGCATTGTTGATTTTTGAGTTCAGATTAATTACTTTTTAGTGGGAGAAAATGAGCTGGCAGATTTTTTTATAACATGATTATGCATTTTCCTCAATTGAATTTCTGTTATTTTACTAAACTCGGTTTGTCTCCCGGCAAAATATCAATTTTTTAAATAGTATCTGTAACGATCAACTGGTCATAGATCTTAAAAACTACCCAGCACCTTGTTAATTCTGTGTCAATTACTAAATGTATCCATGCTTAATGTCTAATGCCCCAATTTTCTGCCACTCTGCACCAATGCTGCTCTGGCTATTTCCGAGGTTTCTTACTAAGTAAAATAAACACTATGTAGAATCGCAATTTCCATACCTAGGAATCTACCCTGCTAAATAGGCTAACATGGAAAAGATAGAAGCAGACTGGCAGGAGAAAGAGATGCCAGAGCTTACAAAATTTGATGGTAAGTGGGCAGCCTCTTCAGTAATGTTCTGTAACTTATTCCTTAAATCTGGAGGGGTATTTTTCTCTGTCTTTTAATAGCATCAAGTTATATACAGCTATGTCCTTGTCGTCTAGAATCAAGAAGTGGTGGACTTTGAAAAGTTGGATGACTACGCTTCTGCCTTTCAAGGTCATGATGTTGGATTCTGTTGCTTGGGCACCACTAGAAAAAAAGCCGGGGCGGTAAGGAAGAAATAGACTCCTTTCCCCTTTCGCTGGCCAGTAACCTCAAAGATTCCTTTCTTGCTTACTCTTTTTCTTTATGTTTGTGGTGCTTAAATGTAAATAGGCTTTTATCATTTAATATTTCATATGCTGCCCTAGCTTTTGCTATTCTTCGGATAGTACTGATAAATTCATCTTTCCTTCAAAGTAATCTTTGAGTTCAGGCCTTCGTGCTGAGAGACATCATAAATATTTACGAGCTCTTGCCTCTTGCAAATATTGCTGTCACTACGTCCCCTGACTAAGGCAAACCATTATGTCTGAGTAAAAGTAACTGGCTCATGCTGTTAGCAGTAAACTGTTTTTGTTTTCTATCTAAATGTTCTAAACTTAAAGCGTTCTCTCTCACATGAATGATTTGCCTCAACCTATTTTCGTGCCAAGCTTTAAACTTCTGATGTAGGACTTCAGAACAGAGGCACGATTCAGCGAGCCTTTAGTGATGACTCAGCCTTCTGCGATGATTCAACCCCAGTGGTGATTCAGCCTTAACTGACGCAGAAGTGTTCTAATCCATGTTTTATTTTCTTTTTAATGGTATTCTAAATTGCATCGGCCTCTGTCCAGGAGCCATCGTTTGCTACCTAGTTAGAAGTCATTGCTTACTACGTAGATCCTTGGCAAGTGTTAATACCTCTTAATTTATACCCTGGCTATAGTTTATCCCTCTGATAGAGGATTGCTGGAGCCAAATGTGTCTAGTAAATATGCAGGACCACAATGCTGCCATGGGGGCGTATCACAGATTTATCAACAGGCCCCATGCACAGAACCATTAGGAGAGTGCATGGTTAAGAACTCTTGGTTTATACCAGCTAAGGAGTTTAGCTCACATGTATTTCTCTGGGTCTGCTGGTGATCCAAAGAATAATTCTGTTCATGCTTTCGGTAGTGATGCATTTCCAGGTCTTCTGCAGTTCTGTCATGTCCACTTTGGAACCCGGCTGGGTTTGTGCTCTGTGCTGGGCAGTATGGATTATAGACAAATTTGACTCTCTCGGGAATTGGCGCAGTATGTCTCCTAGAAAGGGTCATGTTCCCGCTCAGTAGCTGGTGCAGTCTTTTCGGGCCCAGGGACGGTCACAAGCAGCATGCCCTCTGAGAGCACTGAAAAACTTTTGTTCTAGCACATTGCAGGTTGAACGGTTTCAAGGGCCAACCTGATTTTGGTGGTGACTCAGCAAAATAAAAAACACTGCATTAGGTATGGAGCAGTTGATACTCATGACAGAAAGCAAATCTCATTTGCCTCAGGAAAAAGTCTAAACTGTTTTGTTGCATTCAAATTGTGTAAAGCAATTTTCATCAGAGGAACCGGGTGTCTGCCCTATCCAGAATATTTTTTTACATGGAGATGGTTTCCTCCCCTTCCCCCTCCCCCCTTGCACTGTTCCTCTACTCCCCTCAACTCAGGCTACTTGATACGTTTTGTTCTCCAAAATCAGTTTGTTGTTTTTTTTTAACATTTATTTATTTTTGAGAGACAGAGAGAGACAGAGCATGAACAGGGGAGGGACAGAGAGAGAAAGAGACACAGAATCCGAAGCAGGCTCCAGGCTCTGAGCTAGCAGTCAGCCCAGAGCCCGACCCAGGACTCAAACCCATGAACCATGAGATCATGACCTGAGCTAAAGTCGGATGCTCAACTGACTGAGCCACCCAGGTGCCCCCAAAATCAGTTTTAAAAGATAAAAGAATTGATGGGTAAACAAGAGAAAAAAATCTAGTAACCCAACTATAATCTCAGAAATTAGTTGGGGTTTAAATGGTTGAAGAGGATAGTGGCAGAAAGGAAGCTGACATTTCCTCCAGAAAGTCTTTTTTTTTTTTTTTTTTTCCCATTTGAAACTAATTTAGATTGGATGTAATATAAAGTTTGGGGGTTGTGATAACTTTAGGTAATTTAAAAGCAATGACAGTTCACCAGTGGCTAGGTAATAGTATCTGCTGATGGGGGTTGGTGGATTTCCAAGCTCACCCTACCCGGAGTTCTGGGTTGGCAGCCCTCTCTGTAGAAAAAGAGCTCGTCAGGTGAATACTGCAAAGCTGATGCAAGTCTAGTGTCATTTGGTAGCTGTTTTGTAACTGGAACACCCCACATTTTTCCTCAGCAATATGACTTTCCATTAGAGAAACTCCAAGAAACTCATAGTTTCTGTCTTATTCATTGTTGACCCTTTCTGAGCGGCCATCTTACCTCCCTGTGATCTTCAGTGTCTGAATTTGTTGAGGCTCTTACAACAAAGTACCATAACCAGGGTGGCTTAAACAACAGAAATGTAGTGTCGCTCAGCTCTGGAGGCCAGAAGTCTGAGAACCAGGTGTTGGCAGGTTTGGTTGCCCTGAGGGCTGTGAGGGAAGGAACTTTTCCAGGCTTCTCTTCTTGACTCATAGATGACCGTCCTCTCTGGACGTCTCTTGAGTTGACGTTTTTCCTGTGTGCATGTGGCTCCGTCCAAGTCGCTCCTTTTTACAATAGTCCAATTAGATTAAGAACCATCCAACCCAGTATAACTTCACCTCAACTCATATCAGGAACCACCCTGTTTCCAAATAAGGTCACATTATGAGGTACTGTAGGGTACAACTTCAACATAGGAATTTGGGGGAGAACATTGCAACCCATAAAATTCAGCCTGCCCAGATTTCTCCTGAAACCAGGACTCAGGCCTGTTAGCTTTGTCAGCTGTTTGGAAAACCGTTTCCTGTGGTCGTGTTAGGTGCCGCTCTTCTTTTTCACCTTCACAAGCCACAGTTGTCTCATCAGGGCAGCGGCTTCCTTACTTGGCGGCAGTCCAGATCTGCTGGATCAGAATCTCTAAGGTTGAAAGCTTGGCACCTTATTTTTAGCAAGCTCCTTGGGAGATTGTGATGCAAGCCAACCTCCCTCTTGTTGGACCCGTGTTCGGGAGGCTGCTTTTCTAGGTACTATGGTCCCTAGGTGGCCTTCACCTTGCGTTAATACGTAACTTGTGTGCTGGTGAAGGTTGAAATACCCTTTGAAACCCAGATCTATACTGGCCTGGGCTGTGGAGCAAATACTCACAGATGTCACTGAGAATAGCGCTTTCCCCTTATGTGTATTAAGGGGAGGATGCAGTTAGTGAGTGTGAGGTGGTGTAATAACGGTTTCACCTCTTCATTAGTTTCCTTGCAATCCGGGTTCTTAGATTCTGTTGAGTGGACAGTGCCGTTCATGTGATTCATGCAGCCATTGTAATGTTCATTAGGCATCGTCAGAGCCTCCTGGCTTCTGATTTTAATGATACATTCTTCTAATCCAGGTCGCAGACCACAGACTGTGGCTCACACACAGCCCACCTGTTTTGGGGCAGCCCATTGAGCTAAGAATGTTTTTATATTTTTAAATGGCTAAAAAATACTTAAAAGGGGAATAATGTGTCATGATGTGAAAGTATGAGAAATTCACATTTTAGTTCCCATGAATGTAGCGTTCCTGGGACACAGCAGTTCTCATTCCGTAATGTATTCTCTGTGGCTGCTGTTGTGCCATGAAGGCAGAGCTGGGGAACCGTAACCCACGCCTGCAAGGCTGAACATTTTTGCTATCTCATCCTTTACAGGAAAAGCTTGCTGACTCCTTTCGTAATCTGTACTGTTTAATTTGATGTCTAGGAGGCTGCTTGTGAAGTGATAGGGTGCCCGACAGTTCGAGGCTCAGGATACTAAATAGCCACAGGCCCTTGGATGTGCTGGGTAGCTCCCATGAGCCAGCACCTCCTCGTTGGTAATAAGAGGGATGTGACACCTTTAGTCTGCAGAATTCTTTGACTTCCATCACACAGAGAGAAGAATGCCCCAAATGGAATCATTTTGTGAGGACACAGAGATGAACTCCGGAATCTCTGTACCCGTTTGATTTTTATTTTTCTCTCCAGAGCTTTTTCTCTAACCAAGCTCTTGCTTCTGCTGCTCTACATCAAATACAACGATGCCCTCCGGGACACAAACAAATGGGGTTCAGATTCTTACATTTGTTGTTTGTCAGCATCTCTGTTTTCTAGTCTAACCCTATGTGCTGGATTGCAAAGGGAGTAGAGGAGAAAGAATCAGAAGCAGGAATATGGCTACGTGGTCCCCTTTACAGGATGATAGATCCTCCCTCCGTGGAGAAGGAGGCCCCAGAGGTCGAGTCATTGTGGCAGGCTCGTTAGCCATGCCGGTCAGTGCTGATATACTGTGATAGCACGACTTGTTCTTAAGTCACAGTGTCCCCACTTTTCAAACACGTGTAAAGAAGAGGAGAAGAAATACTTAGTAGCTTTGGATTTTAATTTGATTTAAAGAGTCATTGGAGAATCTGTCTCCCTGGATGTTTGTGGAGCCTATGAAGATATCTCTGCTGAATTGTATTACATTGTGTTTATTCTTTTGAGCAGGTGCTGGGAAAGGAAATTTATGGTGGGAACTTATTTAGTCAATTCTTTTTTCTAGCCTAGAGTAGGGCACACTGACTATGGAATCATAAAGATACTATAACAGAATGGACGTAATGTTCTCCGAAGAGATATCTTTTCTCCTGCCATATGGTTAGGGAAACTAAACACTGTTTTTCCGAAAATTGTGTTTCCGGAATATGAAGTAGCTTGTTTTAGCTTGTTCCTCCTGTTGTTGTTTTTTATTTGTGCCGTTAGAGCACAAGAAAGGATGTTAATAAGATTTCAAAGATAGCTTCCTTCTATCTCTAAATGGAATCTTCCTCACTCCAGAGAAAATTCATGTGGGTTGGTATCTCTGAGCCTGTCACCAGGATCCACGTTTAAGTTTGGTTTCTAAGTCCTTGAAAGCCGTTGACCTCTTTGCTTTTTTGAGTTTCATTCACAGCTAAAAGGCCACGCATCGGGGCGGGGGAAGTGAAATTCAGAATTTGTGGGGCTTGGAAAAACGCGTATCTATAATCAGCTTGAGGGCTCAGAGGATTTGTGAAATCATTTTGGATTAACAGCCATTGATTGCTAATAAAACAATCTTTAGCTTTGTCCGGAGAACAGCAATGGAGAAAGGTATGGGCACCTTGTCAACAGGGCCCATTGAGCAGGGATGACGGGCTAAGCGTGGGGGTCTCTGCAGCGGCGTGGGTGCTCGTCCTTCAAGGAGTGGTTGTCAGTTGTTCGTCTGGCCGGTGAAAGGAAGGACGCCAGAGTGTGATGGCTGGGGTGGTATTGATGTGCTTTAGCGGACTAATCAGATTGAAAAAGTCCCATGGCATTTATGTCACTCTAATTTTCATCTAACAATTGGAGACGGCAGCACTCTATTAAGGAGAGGTTGATCCAGAACTAAAGCCAAATAAATTAGGGTCTCAGTTTAATCAAATTATCCCTCTACTGGCCCTGGATTAAGCGAGGGAGACAGCGTCGGTCCAGGGACTTGTGATTGGCCGAATCTTTCCTTTATTTTTACAGAAGCTGATGGAAGAAAAAGGATTTTAACGGCGACAGCTATGATAACGCTCCCAAGAAATAGTGCTAAAACAGCAGCAATGACAAAAAGGAATTTACTCCACTAGTTAGCTCTGTAATTTCATGTGAATAATGAACCCGTTATTGAAATCAGAGTTTGGGGAGTTAGGGCGAGGGGAAGAAAGAGACGTGGAAGAGGAGCCGAGGGCTTTAGAATTTTTCTGTGTCACTTCGGATTGTCTTTACTGGCACACGTTCAGCACATGTAAAATCCCAGTTCGGAGAGTGACCCTGAAGAGAACCCCTGCCTCAGGATGAGCTGAGCCGTAAACGCGGTTTGCTTCATCCTGGTGTAAAAGAGCAGCATTGAGAGTTGGAAGGAGCGTGGGTGAGTGTGCTGCGAGGAATGAGTGTGCAGGTGTACAACACAGAAGGAGATGGTGATGATGTGTGGGGACAGAGTGAAGTTCCTGTTGCCTGAGTGAGGCAGAAACACGACACTGCCCCCTGAGTGAGGCAGAAACACGACACTGCCCTGCAGCTAGTGGGGGTAGTTGGAAATGTACTGTCCGTGAAGACAAAGGAGGACAGGGTAGGCTTTGGGGGAGGGGCGATGTAGTTCCTGATCTGGGAGTCGGTTGCAGAAGATGTTCAGTTTATGAAAATTCATCGAGCTCTTTATTTACATGTTCACTTTTCTTTTACGATCGATTTCTATACAAAGTTGAAAAAGTTTGCTTGGGCCTGTTGTTTTCAAATTGAAATCTGTATTAGTTTCCTGTGGCTGCTGTAATCAATCGCCTCAAATTTAGTGGCGTAAAACCACATACATTTTTCATCTTGCCGTTCTGGAAGTTAGAAATCTGACACGAATTTCGCTGGAATAAAATCAAGGTGTTGACAGGGCTGTGTTCCCTTCTGGAGGCTCTGGGGACCAATCCATTTCTTGACCTTTTCCAGTTTCTAGAATCTGCCAGAGTGCAGCCTCTAGCCTCAGGGCCGGCAACCAGGGACTGAGTGCTCCTCACACTTTCCCACTCCCTTTTTGCACCTCTGAGGACTTTTGTGATTACATTGGGCCCAGTTGGATAATACAGAATAATCTTATTTTAAGGTCAGATGATTAGCAACCTTAATTCCACCTGCAGCCTGAATTCCCCTCTGCCGTGTAACCTAATCTATTCAAAAAGGTATGGGGATCAGGAAGGGACATCTTTGAGGGGCCATTATTCTGCCCATCCCAGTTATGAATTAGTCATTGTCATTGGCTAGAGGCAGTGTGAGATAAGAAGGAAGATGGGTACGATGGAGATACCACTCAGAGTCCAGAATTCGCATTCTGCTGTCAGTTTTCTCAGCCGGAAGCTCACCAGACTGGCCCTTGTTTTCACATCTCCATGATGACGGGGTTGGACGTGATGCTTCCTGAAGTAAAAGACAAACATTTCCTTACGAAATAAAACATTTAGGGTCCGTAAGGACTACAGGGCAAAATTTTTTTGAACAGAAAATCACGAAGATGGCAATGTAGTCTTTCAGAATTGAAATTGTCGTCACAGGAAACCTCATTATAGAGTTACGGGTATTTATGAACTTCAGCTTCACTAGGTTGTAGACTCCTCTCCAGCTGTGTGGAGTTCGAGGATGCTAGCATTGGTGGTGGTGCTGAGCGGCTGTTACTTCATGGAATTCCCTTTCTGGGTACAGGCATGTGTCCTTCCATCGGGCCCTGGAAATGAGTTTACACTGTGTTGTTTACACCATGCTTTCCCTTCCTCCTTCATTGCCACTTAGTCCTTTTTTTTTTTCCTCTCTCTCTCTAATTGGCTTTGCCTTTTCTCTGCTTTTGTCGGACTTTTATTCATTCATTCAGATATTTTTAGAGTACCTCTCATGTGCCAGGCATAAACTGATGCTGAGATAGGAATTAAGAAGAAAGACCCTATCACTGCCCTCACCAGCCTGAGTCTAGACCAGGGGCCCCCAAACCTTCCTGATCATACATCTGTCAGGAAAACAATTTGAGGATTCACTCTTTATTGATATATAAAGTATGATGTAAAACATACACAAAAATTGGAAATTAAATAGGCTTCATTCTGGTCGTGCCTGGCTAGTGCTCTCGGCTGTGCACGAGACCCTGCACGTTAGAGCTGACACAGACACAATAGAGAAAAGAGAGAGAGAGTTGTAAGCTTGTAAAGTTATTGAAAGACAGAGAAACGTGTGACTTAAAGCAGTTTATCATCCTGACCTTATTGTTCCTTCTGCTCCTTGCACATCTGTTAGGTGTCTGTGTTTCCACGTCACCATCCTTATTTTCTCGCTGGCCTTGCTGTGAAAGCTGGTCCGTCTATCCTGAGGCTCATACTTGGAGCCTTTCCCAGGGTCTATGCTCGGATGCATTTTATTTAGATCTCCAGTCCCCCGCAGGCCCGCCACCCAACCTGAATAGCAATCTTTAAGATGAACTCACAGCTTTTTGGAAATAACGTCCATCCTTTTCGCCCTCAGGAAGGATTTGTTCGCGTCGATCGAGATTATGTCCTCAAGTGTGCGGAGCTGGCAAAAGCTGGAGGCTGCAAACATTTTAACTTGCTGTCTTCTAAAGGAGCAGATAAGTCAAGCAATTTTTTATATCTGCAAGTTAAGGTTTGTGCACATTTCTGTCTTTCATATATTTCGGAGAACCCTGGCTAATTGGGAATCCTAAATAATGTAACATGCTAAATAATACAGAAAGGCATGAAGTGGATTAGATTCACTTTTTTTAAAAATAATTACAGGGACTGTATTTTGCAGGGATATGTTTAGTAAACAGGAGTGAGTTGAAAGATAATCCCCAGTACCTTTCCCCCTGCTGATTATCTAGTAATTATGAAATAAGATGTGGCAGCTCTGGTTCTTGAATACCAGTGTGGAATGTTATGTCAGAAGAGACGTGGAGGCAGCAACTCTTAACCTTTTCCTGAGTAGATGATATTTCGTTATTGGGTATGGCTCTTGCCCCTAAGGTGTCCCTAATTGGCTTATTTGGAGATACCCAAGGCTAGCCCCGAGTTTGGTAAGTTGAGAGAAGGTCTCTCAGGACCCAGCATATAGTTACACTCAAAGCTACGACGTATTACAGTGAAAGGATAGAAAGCAAAGGCAATCAACAGGGAAGGATGCATGCGGTGAAGTCCAGGGTTAAGAGGCTCAAGCTTCCAAGAGTCCTGTCTCAGTAGAGTTACACAGGCTTAATTTCACCAGCAATGTGTGTTGAGAATACGAGAGAAATTTGGCGGAGCCCAGGATTTCAGGGTTTTTATGGGGTCAGTCACGTTGGCATACCCTGAGCCTGGAAAAAATTATAAGCTTCCAGGAGGCAGCCAAGTGTTCAGCATAAACCACATTGTTTGTACAGTTTAGGCACTGTAAACTAGCCTGCCAGTTAGGTAATGATGGGGCCATTCCTGACACCCAAGTTCCCAGACACAAGCCAAAGGTCAAGCTTGCAAGCGGGCCTTTCTAAGATAGAGTCTCAGCTTGCTACCTTAACTCTCTTATGCACGCTGCTAAGAGAGACAAAACACACCTTTGTAAAAGCTAAGAGATTAGTTCACATAAACACTTGTATATGGAAGTTCACAGAAGCATGATTCATAATAGCTGAAGTGTTAACAACCCAAATGTCCATCAGCTGATGAATGGATGAATAAAATATTCATATTTTATACCAACAAAAGAATATTATTCAGCCATAAAAAAGCATGATACATGTTATAACATGGGTGAACCTTGAAAACACCATGAAGTGCTTGTCACAAAAGACGACAACTTGTATGATTCCATTTACATGAAATACCCAGAATCTGCAGAGACAGAAAGATTAGTGGTTGGACAGGGCTTGGGGGAAGGGGATGGGAGTGAATGCTGGTTGGTGTGGGGTGTTTTGGGGGGGAAGGTGATGAAATAATTCTAAACTTAGATGGTGGTGAAGGTGGCAGAGCTCTGTATATATACTAAAAAACATTAATTTTACAAAAGTGTTTAGCAAAGCTACCCAAGATTATGCGATGCATCAGGTTAGGTGCCAAGTGAATGGTATGAACAGTCCAAGAAAGAGGAGAATTATTCATGCCACTGACTTCACACAGCCTTTAGATGTCCCTGTGGCCTGAGCTTCTCTGGCGTTTCTGTCCATAGAGATGTCTGGCATGAAAATTCAGTTTGTTAAACAAATTTAATTGAAAGCCATCATGTAGATGTAACCTCACAGTCTCCTGAAATTTGATGGGATTTTTGAGGTAGGGAGTAATATAGAGGATCTTCTGACCCACTGGAACTATCTGGAAACCAAAAAAAGGTTGATGTCCATCAGCCTGCAACATTAACCCTAGACCAAGGGGAGGTTATTCATTGATGGCTGAACTCCTAACATGTTCCTTACTCTGGATCTATTTTAAAATCAGTCACATGAGAGGCCGGACTGACTATGCAGCCACCTCTCCTCAGTATGTCTTTTTGACATCTAGAGATCAGGATTACATGATCTCTTCCTTAACTTCCCAGAATCTAAAATTCTAGATAAGGAAATTTATAACTATTGGACCTGCAGAAGCAGATTATCTTCAAAACCCCCGAGTTATTACCTCTTAAGCATTATGATAAATTTGTCTTCTTGATTAAATGTTAAAATTTGGTTTTTATTAACAGGGAGAAGTGGAAGCTAGGGTAGAAGAATTAGAATTCGAACGGTACTCTGTGTTTAGGCCCGGGTAAGCATTCATACTGTCCAGGAGTATGCCGCTGTTCATTATTCTTTAGAAGTTAGTTTGTCTTTTGAAGAGGCTGACAACTAAGCTCCCTAAGTTATGAGAGAAGTTAGCTGGAGATGGATTGCTTCTCTAAAGAACATACCTTTGGCTTTGGAGGAAAAGATGGACAGTTTGGTGGTGCCAGGCTCAGAGTAGTCTGGAATTTCCTGGGTAGCTTTTGCTGCCTTTAAAAAAAAAAAAATCCTCGTTATTCACCAAATAAAACCTTTTACCCATTGTATTCACCTGTTTAGGCTGCTATAACAGAATAACACTGCAGACTGGAAGGCTTAAGCAACAGAAATTTATTTTCTCACAATTCTGGAAGCTAGAAGTGCAAAATCGAATTGCCATCAGAGTTAGTATCTGGTGAGGCCTCTCTTCCTGGTTTGTAGATGGCCTGGCATGGTCTTTCCCTTGTGTGCAGATGATGAGATCTCTGATATCTCTCCCTCTTCTGTAAGGATACCAGTCCTATCAGATCAGGGTCCTATCCTTATGACCTAATTTAACCTTAGTTACCCTCATGAATGCACTGCTTTCAAATACAACCACGTTGGGGGGTTAGAGCTTCAACCTGAATTTGGGGGAGGGCGAGGGCATCATTCAGTTCATAACACCCTCTATGGTCTGAATACAATAAACCATCTCTTCCTCTGCTTTTCTTTTTCTCTTTAGAGTTCTATTGTGTGATAGGCAAGAATCTCGTCCAGGTGAATGGTTGGTTAGGAAGTTCTTTGGCTCCTTACCAGAATCTTGGGCCAGTGGGCACTCTGTGCCGGTGACGACTGTGGTCAGGGCAATGCTCAACAACGCAGTGAGCCCAAGTGGCAAGAAGAAGGAACTGCTGGAAAATAAGGCCATCCAAGACCTGGGAAAAGCCGATTAACTCTCTCAAGCCATGACCACACTGGAGAAATGCTTCCCTCTGTAAAACTCGGCGCTCACTACCTAATTGTTACTTTCAGGGTCTAAAAAAAGTCAGTGCATTTTAGCTGTGGTTTCACTATTCTCAGCTGCCCAGATCCAATAAAAAATTATTGTGTTCTGCATCAGCAGTGCAGAGCCTGCTTGTACGTATATATTCATCACCCAGGGAGCTTTTCAAAAATAGATTCATAGGCTCTACCTCAAACTCTGAATCAGAATCTTCAGGGGTGAGCACAGGAATCTGTTGTTTTGTTCAAGCTTCCTATAGTGATTGTGGTGCCACTGGTGGGGTGGCCTGCTTTGAAAGGCTTGTCTGCAGTGGTAGCAGCGGTACAAACCTTTTGTATTTTGCAGATGAGTTCTGTTCTAAAATTGTCATTTGTGTTCCTTAGTTACCTGGTGCTGACTGCCGTGTTTGTGTGAATGAACATTGTGCCTTACTACTTCTTTAGAATATGTAATAAAAGTTATTATATAACTGGCTTGTATAATCATGGGAGAATTAAATATAGGAAGAAAAATAAATGGACAAGTCCTGGGTGCCTCTTACACTGTCAGAAAATGTCCAAGTATCAGTGGTAATAGGTAGCATTGTGGCCAGTGGGATGGTATAATAGAGTTTAGGATTTATCAAGTGCCAGCCTTTAAATATGCTATGCATCTTATAGTCCTTCAATAATCCTTATAATCTTAATAGGTTTGACTATCATCTCCATATCTCAGATGGAGAAACTGAGCCTCCCTGTGGTTAAGTGTCTTGCCCAAGCGTCCTAAGCTGAAGACCCAAAGTTAGGAAATGGCAGAGCCAGGATTCTAACCGAAGTCTGCCTGACCTCATAGCTTGTATTTTTAACCACTCTGTAAAAGCCTCCAGTATCTGTATGTTTCCAACAAGTTCCATTAATTGTGACTGGATTAGTACATGCTATGGATGAATAAAATTGAAGTATGTGGTTTCTTTTATAGGGTCTAGGATCCCTGTAGTAATTAACCATAAAATGCTCATATAGCTAGTAGAAGTGTATGTCAAGGTGTCACACTTTAAAAACTATGGAAAAGGAAGGAAAGATGCAGAAGGAAGGGTTCAAGTCAAGAGGAGTACACACTGTTAATTTCCATCTAGGAACAAAGGATAGTGATGAAACCTGTCTTAACTTCTGTGCTGAGGGAAACAGTGATTCCATTTTTACAGGGTCTAGGGGATGCCAGGGACATTCCAAGCTTCAGTGAACACCAGGATAAAGGCCATCCCCTTTAATGGGGAGTGTGTATCTGTAGAACGGATTGGACATTCCCATTCTCAATCATCGAAGAAAGAGACAGATGTTAGGATGCGGTAGGGTCTTAGGATGTGGGGAGAGAGCCTCTTCCTCCTGCGAGGCAGGGTTCCTTTGGGGCTGGACTCTGGAGAGCCTGTGCTTTGGGTGACAACAAGCGTGGGCTCCAAGAAGGGAGGCATGAAATGAGGGGACCCTATGAGGATATACTGCGGCCTGTGGGAAACTTAATATTTGATCGATTCTGTCCTCTAGGAGAGGAATACATTCAGAAGGGTTTAGCAATACAGGGCATCATTCATTCAGCAAATTTACTGAGTACCTAGTAGGCGTTAGGCCGTGTTTATATGCCAGAGAAATGAAAGCAAAGAGACAAGGCTTTTACCCTCATACAGAATGCTGGGGGTATGACCCCCCCCCCCCAAAAAAAAACCCCACCAAAACAAAGCAAATGGTAGGTATAAGAAAGAAACTAAGTGGGGGCTGCTGGAATGGCAATGGAAACTTCTTTAGAGATGGTGGTTTGTATTTGTAGAGCATTCTTAGCAAAGGCTTAATTAGCTCTAAATCAGAGGCTGGAGGGGTGGGACCCAGGGTGAAGGGATGAGCTGAGATGATGACAGGCAGACAGGATTACGCAGAGCCCAGAGCAAGGTAGTGCATTTAGTGGGATAAACATGCGAGGCTCTGGGACTAGAAGCTTGAGACAATTACCTACTGAAATTACTGCAAGTCAACTTCCTCCTAACAAAGCATTCTGTGGTTTGAGTACATGCTCGGAAGGGAGAAAATGGCATGAGGAAGGAGAACGTTTCTGTTCCTCCCACATAGCGGCCACAACATTACTTTCTAAACGTACGGAAGAGCATCACTCCGTCGGTTAATCGAACGGATCAACTGCTGCCCATTGTTCAGGACGAAGGTAACACTTATGTCTAAGCACTTTACATGTACTAAGTCATTTTATCCTTACAGTAGCTCTGGGGCTAGGGCAGCCATTGTCCCCGTTTTGTAATTGAGGAAGTGGCGGCGCGGCGGTGAGAGGTCTTGATCTTGCTCAAGACCACAGCAACAAAGTGACAGAAGTAGGATTCAGACGGAGTAGGTCAGCTGCGGAGTCTCTGCTCTCATTTAACCACTGCGCTTTAAAGACTAACATCCTTAACTCGGGGCGCCAGGCTTTGGTCCCTATGTAGGCTCCAGTACACTCCCGCGGCCTCCCGCGGTTCCCTGTCTCCACCCGCTGCACCCCAACGGGATCAGAAGCTCAGGAAGCGTGGAGACCCAGGCTCTTGCCTGCGCTTTGCCTCCTCCGCCACCAGACGGCGCCCCAAGCGGGCCGCTCCTCCACTAACAGCTCATTCCTAAAATAAGCGACGCACAGAGGGCGCGGTGCCCACTGCAAAGCCGCTGCGGCGTCTCTCCGCCTCTGGGCTCGGGGGCGCGAGTGAGAACCTCCCGCTAAGACCTGCCGCAGCGCGAGGAGGAGACAAAAGTCACGTCAACGCCTGCGACGTTCCCTCCCCGCTTCAGCGCTTACTCTGCACGCGCTACGTCAACCCGGCGGCTGGAGGAGGCCGAGCCTGGGCTTTCGCCCCGCCCACCCGCCTCACGTGACCGACAACCGCGGCCTCGGGGCCGGAAGCGCTCCCAAACCCACGCGCGCGCTCCCGCGTTTCTAGGCGACCCCTGAGCCTTCCCAACTCTGGGCCCTGCCGCGCGCTGGCGCTCGTCCCCGGGATTCCGGGCCCGGAGAGCTCGGAAGCGGCTGCGCGCGCGCTGCGCAGCCCGGTCCCCGCCCCCAGGCGCGCGGGGTTCCGGGGAAATACCGCCATGTGCTCGTTAGCGCCGGGCGCAGCGGGTGGGTATCCCCGGCCCCTTAGCACCCGGCTCGCCCCGCTCGCAGGCCGCGCCGCCGCGGGGCGGGAGAGACACCCGCGTGTCCCGCTGCGTCCCCTGGACGCGGGGCCGGACGGTGGGGCCTGGCCAGGAGGGTGAAGGAGATGCGCTGGCCGGGGCCGCGGGGAGCGGGGCGGGGGCCGCGCACCCCCGCCGCTGCTCCGCGTGTGCCCGGCTCGCCCCGGCGTCCGTCTCGGGCAGGGCTAATCGTTTGCGTGTACTAGGCGGCCGGGGCACTGTGGAGGACGAGGACGACCCGCCAGAGCTGTCCGACAGCGGTGACGAGGCCGCCTGGGAGGATGAGGACGATGCCGATCTCCCCCACGACAAGCAGCAGACTCCCTGCCTGTTCTGTGACAGGTTCGTCCCGCCCAGTGCCAGGCGCCACCCCCAGGGTGCCGGGCCCTGTGGGTACGTGTGGTCCGCAGTCAAGCCCGAGCGGACCGCCCTCGAATCCTTGAACCAGTGGTGTGGAGTGATGCTTTGTTAAGGCAGAAGCCCAGTGGCTATAGAGGGAGAGCCGTGAACTGGAAGCCAGGTTATACTAGTTCTCTTCGACAGGCCTCAGTTTCCCCTCGTGTGAAATGAGAGGGTTTGGGACTGAATCTATGGTTCCCAAATCTAGTTGTGCAGCCTTGTCACCTGAGACTTAAAAAAGAGACTGAACTCTGCACCACACCCCTTCTAAATCAGTCATGGAGTCTAGGAATTTCCTATTTTTATAAAGACATTTTCTAAGGTTATTCTAAAGAGTAACATGTCTGGGAGTCACTAAACTGGATAACCCCTCGGGACCCTTCCAGCTTTACCACTCTATAATTCATTAATAAGTAGAGAACTTCTCAAGTGACAGCATTATTTCCATTTTGAACCATCTGAAGAATCATGTTTCTTAGGAAGGGGCTCCCCACCTATCGAAGAGAAAGGAATTGATGCATTTTTCACTTAGTGAAAAAGACACTACAGTATCAACTTGTTCGAGGTCACAATGCTGTTGTTTGTCTCATATCCAAATCCCTATTCTTTGCACTTAAAATTCTGCCTGTTCATCTCAGTAAGCTTTGACTTTGGCTGACTTTCTGGGCAAGTGGGTAAGAAAGAGACCTGCTTGGCACTGGCCAGCGTTACTTTAATAAACGTTTGCCAGTTTCCCATAAATCTGGGCATGGTGCCAGTTGGTGGTGTATTAGCTCCTCTTGATTCATCATTGGTCTCACATGTAGCCTCATTTGCATAGGTACAGAATGTTTACATATACTTTAGTTGTCATAAAATAATTTGAATTGAGCATCAGGGTTGTACTTCTCTGTGATGGGCTGTACAAGCACAGCAAGGTAAACATTTGTTGAAAACTAACTGCTGCATTTGTGCCAGGCACTCAGATGAATGCAGCTTTTCTGCTGTATATTCCTGTCTCAGGTGTGCTTGGGTTTTGCAGGTCACAGAATAAAGAGGTCTGATCCTCACGATGTCCGTAACACCAGTACTTTCAGAACACTACAAGATTACCTCTGAAATATGGCGCTTTGGGAATACGCCAGCTGTAAAAATTACATTTTACGCTTTGTTTCTAAAAGCAGTCTGAGGTGTTGTAGTTCAAAGCCTCTGGAAGCAGCACTGACGGAGAGGAGAAAAGAATCTTCTGTAGGGAATTTTCATGACTTGAGGGAAATAGACTCTATCAAAGGGAGTTCTCTTCCTTAAAAGCCTTTTGATAATCTCAGTGCCATTATTTGGCAAATAAATTAACTTTGACGTTTAAAAAGTTGTTCGGGGTATAAAATGGGACTCAGAAGTACTAATTCCCTGTAGTAGTGCTGGGTTCCTCTCATGTACAGGTATGTTTGTTTCTTCTTAGTTGTATGTAAAACTAGAAACCAGCAGAAGGGGTTAGTGTATATTTAACATGAAATCCATATTTAGACTTTTGAGGTGACTATTTCATATAGCTATTATTTGATTTTTCAGGTTATTTACATCTGCTGAAGAAACATTTTCACATTGTAAGTCTGAGCATCAATTTAATATTGATAACATGGTCCATAAACATGGTGAGTATGGTTTAGAATAAAGACAATTTTTGTTGTGAAATTTATGTTCAAACTCTGTATTCTTCCAGAACTTTCCTTTCCTCTGCAAGTTCAATATAGTGAAAAATATAGGAGCAGCCTGTCTAATGAAGTTTTTTTTGAAAGTGGCCTTTGAAAAAGGACTAATTATAAGTCATTCTTCTAGATGAGATTCACTGTATTTAAGGTTATATTGACTTCACAACCAAAAAGGAAAAAACAACATTGGCATGTGATTGCATTTTTATTTTATTAGAATTAGGGAGAGCAAGGACAGAGGTGGAATGTGGAAAAAGAGGTAGTCATTATGAAAAAGGACAGTTTACCAGGTCAAAGCATAACATGAGCTTCAGGGCATACAAAGTTGAGTTTGGTAAGAGTATAGAAAAAGAAGTGATTAGGTTAAGGTGGTGAGCGAAATATTTGGATGATGATTCTTTTGAAATTTGCATTTACACATACTTCCTTTTTTTGTTGTTAATTTTTGTTTATTTTTGAGAGAGACAGAGCATGAGCATAAGCATGAGCAGGGGGAGGGGCAGAGAGAGAAGGAGACACAGAATCTGAAACAGGCTCCAGGCTCTGAGCTATCAGCACAGAGCTCAACGCGGGGCTTGAACCCACAAACTAGAAGATCATGACCTGAGCCCAAGTCAGATGCTTAACCGACTGAGCCATCCAGGCACCCCGTCACATACTTCCCTTATAATTAAAGTCTACTTCTTTAAATGGATGCAGAAGAGCTACACTATTCCACTAAAATTAAATACAGAATTGTTTTTTTAGTCCTTGTATTTACTATCAACTAGAAAAGACATTAAACGTGATACGTTTATAAATCATAAATTCAACTGCACCTGCTTTTGTAAGACATAAATGACTTATTCATTTTTTTATGTGCCATTTTATAATGTTTATTTATCTGAGAGAGTAAGAGAGCGTGTGCCACGAGTAGGGGAGGGACAGAGAGTGAGGTAGAGAGAATCCCAAGCAGGCTCTGTGCCATCAGGGCATGCCTTTAGTGCATTTTTAAACTGAATTGGAATCATACTTTAAATATAATTTTGAGGTATGCCTGGGTGGCTCATTTGGTTAAGCGTCTGACTTCACCTCAAGTTCATGAGCTTGAGCCCCAAACTGAGAGCTCAGACCTTGGAACCTTCTTTAGATTCTGTGTCTCCCTCTCTCTCTCTGCTCCTCTCCTGTTTGTGTGCTTGCTTTCTCTCTCAAAAATAAATAAATTTTTAAAATTAATTTTGTAATTTTTTTTCATTTAATAAGGTTTTTGAATGCCATTTTCCATATAAAACCTTTTAAACGCTGTTATATTTCTCATAACAACATTATTCATGACAAATAATACCCAGTTGGTTGGATATTCTATTGCTTTTCCTTTTTTCAAATCCTGCTTCATTTCTGGAAAGAAGAGAACCAGAGAACAAGCCTCATTGTTTTTTAACTTACATCATTTAACTTAACGTAAAAGCTATTTCACTTTGTATACTCTATATCTTGAAGGAGCCTCCAGGCTCTGAGCTAGCTGTCAGCACAGAGCCCAACGCGGGGCTCAAACCCATCAATTGTGAGATCATGACCTGAGCCGAAGTTGGAGACTTAACCGACTGAGCTACCCAGGCGCCCCTGTATACTCCATATCTTTACAAAATTATAATTTGGTAGGCACCTAAAAATAGAGGCTTTAAAACTTCTGGCTCTATTATCAGCTGTCAAATACTTGTTAAAATCTACAACCAAATTTTTCTGATTTGTGTTGTTCTTACAAATGAGGATTTGAATTCTAAAAACTAATTTCCTACTTTTTAGAAATGCAAGAACAGCATTAAAAATGTCATCTGTGTGACTGATTCTTAAATATTCAGAAGTATTAAAGTTACTATTTCTAGATCTTAAGAAATTCAAAACATTGTAAGTTGTATTTTAGAGGACTGAAATATTTTATTATCTAACCCCTATAGAACAGGTCAGTTTAGCAAAACTCTTACATTAAAATAGGTGAATTATTTTTTTTTTCTTTTTAGGACTGGAATTTTATGGATACATTAAACTAATAAATTTTATTAGACTTAAGGTAAGTTGGTAGCTTAATTTATAATTTTGGAGACTGAAGAAATACCATGGGGACCAATGATGCACTGATTTTAGAAAAATACAAAGAACTGCTAAATGAAGAACTGGTTTAGATTTTAGCATCATATTGGGGGAATCATGGACATTAGGAACTAGTATAACATGGAGCACCAAGTAAATGAATATACACCATGCTTCATAAGGTGTCATTTTTAACTATTTCTAGGAGGTGAATCGATGTTACGTGAAAAAGTAATACAGTGTCCAATAATGGGAAATATTGATACACAGTATTTCTCTAAAATCAGAAAGAATTTGTAGTGTGATTTCAAGTATTGTGATTGTCTTTTCTATTTTTCAAATACTTTGTCCTTTTTTCTATTCAAATGAATGTTTATGTTGCCACTTCCTCCAAATCCAAACAATATTGAATCCAATATTGAAGCCATGTTGCATATTAATGTAAGCAGTCATCCAGTCAAGTTAATGAAATGACAGGTGAACAGAGACTCCTTAGAGGTTTTATGTAACGTAGACATGGTTCCTTTTTTAATTTAATTTTCCTAGTTTTTACTAGGGGGCTTTTGTGATTATATACAGTGAAAAAACATGCAATTAATTTTACATCCAGAATCCTACAGTTGAGTATATGAATTCCATATACAATCCAGTGCCTTGGGAGAAGGAAGAGTATTTGAAGCCAGTATTAGAAGATGACCTATTACTTCAATTTGGTAAGATGAACTCACAGTATCTATTTAACGTAGGGTCATTTGTAATAGCAAAATGGTGGTTAAAAGTGTTCTAGGAAAATATATCACCTCCTTAATTCTCTAAAGACTAGTTGGTTTCAGTGGGAAGGTTAAATTTAAGAACTGCCAGTCACACTGATCATTACCAGAGAGTAATTTAGAAATACGAGCTTGTTTAAATATTGTATACACGATGCTCTGAAACATAGGGGGACTTGAGAGAATAATTTTTAGTTGTAGGCTACTTTTTAGTCTGCTGCCATTGACTAAAATTTTAATTTAGTTCACTAAAATGAATTATACTTTATTTTAAATTAACCATAATTTTAAAATCTACTGATTCAAAATAATTTTAAAGTAGATTTAATAATATCTGCTGCTTTTGTCTGACATATTTAAGTCTGATAATTGACTTTTCGTAAGATATCCAGTTTCCTGAGATTTTGTTTGGAGGCAGAACAGATGCCGCTCCAATTTCCATGAGCTTACCTACATACACAACCTCTGCGGCCTTCCTCGGGGCAGAGCCACTCTCATCTCCTGACTGGAGCTTTCTTACTTAGTTACTTGCTCTGTGCTTGGGCCATTCCTTATTGAACATGGATCTTATGAAAAGTCTGTCGGCTTCTTACAGATACTTTAATGTTCTTACTTAACCAGGGTTAATGATTTCTGTTATTTCCCCTTATTTGTATTTTCTTCTTTGTTTCTTGTGTCAGTAAGGTAAGGTAGAGGGTTTGCTCTTTTCAGACCAGTAAGTCCATTTTAAACAGACATATACCTTCACATATAGTAGTTTGACAATGTGTAATTGAGCAGTTCTCTGATTAGTGAGAACTGTGGGCAACTACTCATTTCCTTGAGTAGTACCACCGTTAGGTTGTGTGGTGGTGCAGTTTGGCAGTGAGGACCTTAATGTAGGAGTCAGGAACTATGTGACCCTGGAGAGAGCTTTCTGTTATTCAGTCGTCATCCAAAAATGAAGAACCCAGGCCAGATTTCTAATATTCTTTCTAGCTCTAAAATTTGGTGAGTCCCAGATTGATTCCTTCCTGTTTTTACAAATTCTCTTTAATCTCCTTTCTCCCCAGAGTGGCCAAAGTGATGTCTTTGATAAATGACAAAGTGCCCACTAAGTGCTCCTCATGACTTCCTAAACTCAAAATCATTCATGGATCTCTCACAGGATGAAAGTAGTATGTTAAATGCTTTAAAAACATGAATAAGTGAATCCTTCCCATTGGGAGCCCACAATCTTATAATAGTGAAAGTGTTTTGTTTTTAAATGTCTGGCATTTATTGTAATATAGATCAAATATTATAAGGTCAAATGTGGGAAGTTTCATGAGAAGTAGAAAAGGTAGTATAGTTCAGAAGAGGAAGAGATTATTCAGACCAACAAATATTGAGTGTTGTTTACTGGTCACTGTGGGTTTAGATCAGTATTGAATCTAACTCTCCAATTGTACATAATTTCTTTCAGCCTTAATTTGTAAAAAGGTGATAATGATACCTACCATATAAAATTGTTGCAAAGATAATGCGTATTAGCACAGTATCTGTCAGAGGGCAAATGCTTAATAAAGGAGAATTAATGTTATTAGTAAATAAATTCGGCCTAAAGGAGTTTGGATGAAGTCATGACTGCAATCTGGAACACTTAAAGAGACCTAGTTAAAAAAGGAGAACTTGAACCAGGTATGCCCTTGAGTGCACTGCCTGTGTTCTCGGTCTGTGCTGCTAGCCATTGGTGGAGAGGGATGGAAGAGAAGGTTGTCACTCCCCGGGCTCCAAGCTTGATTACTGACCATTGTACCTCCACTGCCTTTCAGTAAATATTTATTGAGCATCTGTTAAGTGTTAGGCTTTGAGGATGTATAAGATGCTAAATTAATAAAGATGATTAAGGAAATAAGCAATGAAGGTATGGGGGGGTAGGTAACTTTACAAGGGAGAAACCTGGCAAACACTACCACAGCCAGGTAATCTTACATCAGTGATCCACCATGTTGATGGTGTGAGCTCTTTATATGATGTCGTGAGAATGGTACTTTCCCTCTAGCCTTCCTCCCAAAACTGTTAACTTCAGTCTCACCATGGAAAACCATCAGACACTCAAAGTAAGGGTCATCGTACAAACTTCCTGACCAGTACCCCTCAAAACTGTTAAGGTTGTCAAAAACAAGGAACGTCTGAGAGACTGTTATTGCCAATGAGAGGCTTAAGGAGACATGACAATTGAATAGATTAAAGTGTCCTGGATAGGATCTTGGAACAGAAAGGGGACATGAGGGAAAAACTAATGAAATATGAGTAAATAAAATGAGTTCTTGTTTTAAGTGCTGTGTAATATTTGAAACATTCCACAACATTCCACAAAGGGTTAATACTCTTTTACATAAAGAAATTGTAAACATTGAGGGACAAAGGATCAAACACTTGATGGAACATGAGTAGATAGTTCACTCAAAAAGGTTCAAAAATTGCCCAACAGTGAGGTACCATTTCTTACCTATCAGACAGGTAAATATTTTTAAAGTATGACAGCATGTTCTGTTGCCAGGGTTGTGGAGATGCAAGCACTGTCATATATTGCTAGTAGAATGCACATTTGTCGACAACCTCACCAAACTCTATATGCACTTACTTTTTAATACAACAGTTTATCTGATAATAATCTGCCTCAAGGTCTCCAACTTGAAAAAATATAGACACAAGATAATTCAGTATAACATTATAGTTTCCAAATATTGACAACAACCCAAATGCCCATACACAGGAGATTAATAGAGTAAGCTTTGTTGTGTCCATGCTGTGGAGTAGTATACATCTATTAAAAATCATGGAGACCTCTGACCTGGTAGAGTGACAAAGCTCAGAGGAGTACCTATGGTATGATACTCTGTTCATGTAAGAAAGGGATTTGAGAAAATGCATGTGTCTGCTCATTTGTCAAAATTAATACAGGAAGGATAAACTAGAAACTAAAGAGAGTAGTTACTTATGGAGTTTAGTGGGACAGGGATGGGAAGAAATACACAATGGGGTTGAAGTTACACGGATAATGAGGGAGTGACACTTCTCTGAGGGTACCTCTGTTTAGCTCTGACTCTTAGAACTGTGGTAGTATTTCTCATAGCCTTTGTGTAATAAAAAAAAAAACAACAAAGCATCCGGGATGTGTGTGTGTGAAGGCACAAATGGAACACAAACACTAACAAATGAACTTAACTATATTACAGAGGAATAATGCAGTAGAGAAGTGGGTAGGGAAGGAAAGAACTTTGTGAGTAACTGAAACCTTGACTGGATATTGTGCCGAGGCTGTAGGTAAAAAGAAGTACATAAATGCTGCAATCTAGTAAGTAAAGGTGTTTCCAGCAGAATATGGATTAGCAATTCTGGCACTACTTTCTGTATGTAGCAGCATGGACAAGTAAGTAAATATGTTATGGATAATAAGAGCTAGGTTTCTCATTGTTAGAAAAGGAGGTTCAAAGAAGGAAATAGGGAAGGTTAAAATGAGTCCTGTGGTGATTAGGTATATCAGAAGTATCGGTATAAGTATAAATTCTACAGTTTTTAATATCTGTTCAGAATACAGATATGTGTACATGTGCAGGTTAGTATAGACACATATATTTCGTAGCTCTGTTGAAAGAGCCTAGAAAAACCCCGATAGCAATGAGCACACTTATTGCTGAGATTTTAACAACATTATCCAGAAAAGGAACGAAGGCTTTTTTGAGAAGTGATTCCTTGGATGGGGCAGGATGATACGAGGTGAGTCTGGAAGAGCTTGTGCCACAAATTAAGGACATACTTGAAAAGAAAAGGTTGGGGAGGAGGGGACTTGCCAAAAGAATATAGGAGCCAACTCCAAGAATGAAGGAATCCTCATGGCCAAAGCAGGAGGAGTTTGAGCAACACAGGAAGTGATACTATTGGGTTTTAATCCATAGGATAGAAAATATCCATGAATCCATAATGATTTAGGCAACCAAATAAACAAATGGAGAAGGAAAGCTTGATCTTAGAGTAAAACTTTCATTAATGTAGAAGGGAAGAGAGAAATAGAAAATCACCATTAGGCAAACACCACAGTAATAACTGGCAGAAAAGATCACCAGTGGATGCTGAGATTAGTGGGCAGAAATTTAAGGTGAAACAGGTTGAGAGTATCTCCATCAAGAAATTTAAGTACGAAGGAGATGTTAACTTTTCCAGTAGACACTACCACAACCAAGTGATCAAGGTTAACATCATCATTAATAAGTTAATATTGACACCAAGAAACCCCTTGGTAAAATGCACTCAGAACACATTTTTCTGTTCTTGCCAAAACTGTATAACTTTATTCCAGTAATGAAAAAACATCAGGGAGCGCCTGGGTGGCTTAGTCAGTTAAGTGTCCGACTTTCGCTTGGGTCATGATCTTGCGGGTCGTGGGTTCGAGCCCCGCATTGGGCTCTGTGCTGACTGACAGCTCAGAGCCTGGAGCCTGTTTCAGAGTCTGTGACTCCGTCTCTCTCTGACCCTCCCCTGCTCACGCTGTCTCTCTCTCTCTCCTAGAAATAAATAAAACATTAAAAAAAATTAAAAAAACATCAGAAAAACCTAGGTTGATGGACAGACTACAAAATTAGTGATCAATACTCCACGGAAGTGTGATAGAGTTCTTGGGTGCAATATTCTAAAAATAATTAGTTCAAGGTACTGAATATTTTAGTTCTGGTCTTTTATATGTTTTTGGATTTTTCTAATTCATCAGTTGTTGAGAGAAGGTGTATTTACATTTCTGTGATTGAAGAATTGTCTGTTTTTGCCTTTTAATTCTGTCAGCTTTTGCTTTTTTGAGGTTTATACTCATTTATAATTGTTACATCTTCTTGATAAATTGACCATCCTTTGTGGTAGTTCTCAGCTGCCAAAATGAAGTATCCAGGTGATTTGAACCTCCTAAGACAGAATGTAGATGTGGAAATTCATCTTCCCGAATATGGTTTAAGACTTTGAATTAGACTGTTTTGATAAATTGTAGTTATGGATCTTAACGTTTACTGAGTCTGTCCTCCTTTTCAACATTTAACCTTTAGTATATGGTTATCTACATATTATTAGTGTTGAAAGTTTTTACTTTGTCTTTTATTGCAGCAAAAAGCAAAATAGAGAAACAACAAAACCAAGAAATCAATTCTTTTAATCAGTTCTAATCTGTAACTTACACTAACAAGTTGGCTCGCAAACAGTTTGAAAAAAGGTTTTTTTTGTTTTTTTAATGTTTATTTTTGAGAAAGAGACAAGCGCACAGAGAATACAGTGGGGGAGGGGCAGAGAGAGAGACGGAGACCCAGAATCCAAAGCAGGCTCGAGGCTCTGAGCTGTCAGCACAGAGCCCAGTGTGGGGCTCAAACCCACGAACTGTGAAATGACCTGAGCCAAAGTTGGGCGCTTAACCCACTGAGCCACCCAGGTGCCACTTGAAGAAATTTGAAAACGAAATATACAGAGTTGTAGTATGAAGTAGAAAATATGGTGCTGTCCCTAAATAGTTTGGACATATTTTGTTGCTCTCATTAATTTTTGATGAATTAAATAGTGAATGAATCTATAGTGGTTTTTTTTCTGCCAGACTGATAGGAGTTTAGTGGTGTACTGCTGGACTGCTTTTATAAGAAGTTCCACTTAGGCTCTAGTCTCTAAGTTATAATATTCTCATGTACTTGTTTCTTCTTTTTTTTAATCTTTATTTTTTGAGAGAGAGAGAGAGACAGAGAATCCAGTCAGGCTCCACGCTTAGCATGGAGCCCAATGCAGGGTTCAGTCTTACAACTATGAGATCATAACCTGAGCTGAAATCAAGAGTCGGATGCTTAACTCACTGAGCCACCCAGGCACCCCTCTCATGTATTTGTTAAGCTTAGTTATTTTGTCCCAACTCTAAAGAAGTGTCACAACTAACAACTGGTGATAAGTAAAAAAAAAAAAAAAAAAAAACCATGTTTCACCCAGTGCTGTACTGAAGAGAAAAAGTATCTTCATTGCTTTTATTACTTTACATTGATCTGAAATTTAATTGGACTGGAAAATAGACCCTGGGCTTTTATAACTCTCACTAGCTTTGTGTATTAATCTCTTTTTGTGGAGTTATTAGTTCTACAGTGGAAGTTAATGATTATACATAGTGAAATTAAATTTAAACCAAGAATTTTTAATAATATTAGGAATCAGGATATTCAATAATATCAGCAATCCCTCAGTATATAGATTACACTACCCCTTAGGATGAAAAACTTAACTGAGTATATAGAACTCTTTATGTACACACTGTCCTTAATGAATGTGTGAATCTAATACCTGTTATTTTATAGATAAAGACTCAGAGTCTGAGAAAGAACCATGTGTAGTGGCAAGAACATGAGCTAGGAGGGCAGGCATGTGTTTGAATCATAGTTTTTAAATTAAACATTCAAATGACTTTGAGCTAGTCACTTAATTACTCTGTAATTTGTTTTTCCCATGCTCTAAAATAGAGATATTTATATCTTAGGTTTGTTTTGAGGATGAAACGAAATGTAATGTGTGTACTTGAAAGAAATCTGGTGATAAGTACATATTAGGGCTTTTTCCTTCCACCTTTTTGTTTCTTCTTGGGTTTGGTTCAGTATAGTTAACACTTTTGTGTGTGGTTAACTTAACTACCTAATGAAAAACTGTAACAGCATGTTCTTTACATTTAAATGGAAACAGTTTGGATATTAAATATTTAGTTAGGAGTACTTTCACAAGTTTTTCTCATCTGGCTGCTTAATAGGCACTCAGAATATATTTATTGCTAACATGTTTGTATTTGCTTCGTTGTTAGAAGATGGCTTAATGATAACGTCCACTCATTTCTTTAGATGTGGAAGATCTTTATGAACCTGTGTCAGTCCCATTCTCGTACCCCAATGGACTCAGTGAAAATACATCTGTGGTTGAAAAATTGAAACATATGGAAGCCAGAGCACTGTCTGCTGAAGCTGCACTAGCTAGAGCACGTGAGGATCTGCAAAGAATGAAGTAATTTATCAGTCTTACAGAAAATTTGTTATTTAGATCCCGAAAGTAATTCAACTTCTAATAAAGTGGAATATGGTAAAACATTTTGCGTATTGGAAAGCACAATGTAGGTATCTAACTTTAAATTTATTTTAAATTAATTTTAATTAATGATATGCAACATTTTTATATGTTATAGTTGATCAGTGTAAAATTCTGTGGTTTTTACCTGTTCTCACATACTTCTTTATAATTACTTTTGTACTAATGGTAATTTTTCTGGGAGTGTTATTCTCTTGAGTACTTTTGTTCTTTGAATTACTCTGTATCTAATAGGTTTCTCCATTTTACTTTTTCTCTCCTAGGCTTTCACAGGGAAGTGATTAATATTTTTGAAGCTTGGGGAAAATACAGTTTGAAATTTTTGTTTTTGAAGAATCAAAATATAATTATGTAGTATTTAGTTAGAAAACCACTGGGCTCCTGGGTTGGCTCAAGTCATGATCTCACGGTTTGTGAGTTTGAGCCCCGCATCAGACTCTGTGCTGATAGCTCAGAGCCTGGAGCCTGCTTTGGATTCTGTGTGTCCCTGTCTGTCTACCTCTCCCCTACTTATGCTCTGTCTCTCTCAAAAATAAACAAACATTAAAAAAAAATTTTAAAATTTAAAAAAGAAAGAAAACCAGATACATGGAATGATTTTCTTCAGTGAGTAAATTAACTTTCTGTTAGCAGTACTTCTCAGAATTTAATGTGCATAATGAATCACCGCGGAATTGTTTAAACTGTGGATTCTGGTTCAGAGGTCTGAAACAGGGCCTGAGATTCTGCATTTCTTCCTAGTGTTAGATATTGTATTTGTAAGTTGGTTGCCATTCCCTCAGTACCCATTTGATGGTTTGCCAGGATGTTCAACAGGGAGGATAGTACGACTGATTGTGGTTCTCTTTTCCTGTTTTTGAGATTTCATGCTGGATAATCTAGTAACAACAACAACTCTCCTATCTGCCTCTGCATTTCTCCCCCATTGTATACATTATAAATTATTTTTTTTATGTTTATATTTGAAAGAGAGAGAGAGTGCGTGCATACGCACTCCCGTGAGCAGGGGAAGGGCAGAGAGAGAGGGAGACAGAGAATTTAAAGCAAGCTTCGTGCTGTCAGTGCAGAGAGCTCGATGTGGGGGCTCAGACTCGGGAACCATCAGATTATAACCTGAGCAGAAATCAAGAATCAGATGCTCAACCAACTGGGCTACCCGGGTGCCCCATTATCGATTCTTAATGTGTTGTGTTCAGAGAGAGAACGGAGTTTTAGAGCTGGAGTGCATGGTGATGGTGTGTGTACATAATTCTCAATTTGGGTCAACTTTTTGCTCATATAACCTTTCCATGACATAATATGGTTTTAAAGAATATTCATAGTGTTGAAATAAACCACATTGATTCAGCTGCTAAAAATAAGATTTTAGAACCATAGAAATAGTAAAGTTTAATAAAGACAATGTGCTTTTGTTAAGTTGAAAGATACAAAGAGCTCTAAGCTGCAGTTGGCAGTGTTTCTGAGGTTTGCGGAAGGAATGTTTACAACCCATTTTGCATACACCATTGCTTAAGGTCCAGCAGGGGGAGCTCTCACTTGCTTAAGATAGATTGTGAGTTAGAAAGCTCATCACACCACATACCCCACTCCCTCCCCATTCCTCTCCCTCAACCTCTAGCCTTTCCTTTTTTCACGGTCCAATAAACCTGTCTCAAGGGTCTATTTCAAATTGATTACAGGCAATTTGCTCAGGATTTTGTGATGAACGCAGATGTCAGAACCTGCTCGTCATCTACTACTGCCATTGCAGACCTCCAGGAAGATGAGGATGGTGTTTATTTCAGCTCATACGGGCATTATGGGATACATGAAGAAATGCTAAAGGTTAGAAAACAGCACAAATGTACCAAGTCCATCCTAAAGGAAAAATAGAATAAAACAGGTTCTTAATATATATGCTGTAAGAGAACTAGTCGTTTTTTGTTTTGTTTTTTTTAGAACTGCTTTTTAAATCTCTTTGGTGCTTAATAGGACATCTTGGGTTGAAAAGGCTACAGGAGCATCACAGTCACTATAAATTCTATTGAAGATTAGTATTATATCATTATTTACTCTATTAGTAAATCTTTTGCTTGAAATAGAACATTGGAAAAAACAACTGCTGCTGATTTTCGTCTTCTTAGGAGCAACTGTTAAATAGGAACAATTAATTTCAGTGTGATATAGCAGTATTGACCTCAGTTTGAGAAAATAATTCTTTGGTACAAAGTTTATAAATAATTCTCACAATTGTCACGGCGTAACTTTTTTACATTTGAAATCAATTTCCTAAGTTGGTCAAATCAAGTTTTTAAATTTGGTTGGTTTTGATTTTTATAACGATAACATCCATATAAAATATAAGTAGATTTCTGGCTATACTTGGTAATTATATATTTTATCATGTATTATAGATTGTAAAATGGTAAGATGTAAAAAATATCTATAGTTAAACAAATGTTGGAATGTAAAAAATTGATTGAAAATGTTAGAAGTTTATTTCTGTGCATTTTTTGGAGGCCACTACTTTTTCTTAAAACCAACCAGCAAAAAATTCATTCCTAAATCCTTCCTTACAAGAATGTTTTGTTTTATGGAAGCCCAAAGACCATGTTCCCTGACACATATGCATTTAAAATAACCAGGAATATTTAATAACATGTATGTATTTTGTGGAGTCAGATTTGCAAGATCACAGAGGGGAGGTCTGCTGATTAATAGTAATAATAATTACTTGGGTCTTTTAAAGCAGTGTCATGTCATTTCTTTCCCAGTGACATGTCACAGTTGGTTGTACTTTCTGTTGCCACTTGAGTAATGGCATAGCATTACAAATAATAGTTATCTTATCAATGATGAATTATTTTAAGTCCAGAGTGAGTTTGTTTGAAAGAAATTGATTTGCTCTGTTTTCTATGTTAAAATTAATTTTATTGCATCTAGAATTTTTCTTTTTAAGTTCACTTTAGCCCATCTTTGTCATTTTAAATCGCCCCCATCAATTTAAATGCCATGAACCTTTTAATGGCTTTGGTATGGAAATTGCATTGAGTTTTTCTGACCGATAAGGTTACTGAGACTCCAGGTTGGTAGTATACAAAAGTGTCTTAGGTGCAGTCATCAGGGAAATTTAGTTTGTCTGTCTTGGACATTTGTAGCAGTATATCCGTAACTAGAGGATCTTCACAGCTGATCATATATTGATAAGTCCTTTTGACATACATATGGATTTAAGAAGTTCCACCTTGAAGTTTCCACTGCTACTCTTTTCATTTTAGAGAATCATTTAAGAATCCCTATTGGGGCGCCTGGGTGGCTTAGTTGGTTGAGCGTCTGACTTTCGCTTAGGTCATGATCTCGCGGTTTGTGGGTTCGAGCCCCACGTCGGGCTCAGAGCCTGGAGCCTGTTTCAGTCTGTGACTCCCTCTCTCTCTGACCCTCCCCTGCTCACGCTGTCTCTCTCTCTCTCTCCTAGAAATAAATAAAAATATTAAAAAAAAAAAAAAGAATCCCTATTAATACAGTTTTCCATGCCTCACTTCCTGTTAGCTGTTACACAACGTAATTACCTCTCCTTGGGGATGACTTGATTAAGTGTTCATTGGAAATATGTATTTATTCCATGCAAAGAAAACTATTTATATTTTGCTAAGTTGTGTGCTGTGGATGAGTAGGAAATGTCCTGTATATCAAGTAATATTTTGTTTCTTATCAAAACTGTTTTTAGCACACATAATCTATTTAAGGTTATGCTACCACCAGCATCTCACTTGCTCTTTATAAATAACTTAAAATTGAGAAACATGTATAGGGCTTCTATTTATGCTTAGAATTGGCCTTGCTTTTATAGGAAAAGTATTTAGATTTTTGATTGCTTAGTCTCAGATAGTTCAGTGACACTATTTTGGCATTGTTGTGATTATAATTACAAATATAGGTGCTTTGTGATCTTATTTTCCGGAGTTCCGATGAAAATAATGTTTTTGAATTCCAGAGAGACAGTCAATGGAGGGATGGATTACGTGAGCTTTCAAAATCCTTCGCTACTTTATCTTTCAGAAGAAGAGTCATTGTTGACTAATGTTGTAAATCTGAGATGCATCACTCTCTTTTTTTCCTAAGAAAAGCATTCTTCATCCTGATGGACATTTATCACAGATCATAGTACCATTAAATAACTTTGCTTTACTGGACTTGTGCTGCCCCTCCGGGCTCCATCCACCTGTCCATTTGAAACACACTGCTGTTGGGGCACCTGGGTGGCTCAGTTGGTTAAGCTTCCGACTTCGGCTCAGGTCATGATCTCGCGGTTCATGGGTTCGAGCCCTACGTCAGGCTCTGGAGCCTGTTTCGGATTCTGTGTCTCCCTCTCTCTCTGACCCTCCCCTGCTCACGCTGTCTCTATCTCTCTCTCTCTCTCTTTCTCTCTCAGAAATAAATAGAACATTAAAACTTTTTAAAAAAAAGAAACACACTGCTGTTCATATGTACATAAATTTTATAGTATATAACTCTTCTGTAGTCTCATTCTTAATATTTTTTTTTATATTTGTATGAATGATTCCGTGGGACTTTACTAGTCTTTAAAAGATTGTTTTGCTTCTTAGTAATTTTATTTTTCTTTTGTGTTCCTTGGTTTTAATAGGTTGGTGCAAAAGGTAATTTTGTAAATTTCTATTTACGTTATTCTGTATTGAAGTGTCAGTCTTTTCTGAGAATACATTTTTGGAAGTGGTCATTAGTGCCAGCCTTTTATTTCTTGCATTGTCATGTTGAGTGGATTCTTTCAGTTATGAAATTGAAGGTCTGCCATGTCCAGGGCCCTGTGTTTGGTGTACTGTGGATTTTATCGCAGCAAGGTGAGCATGTGGACCAAAGCACAGGATTCTGTAGGGTGAGCCCGGGACAGAGGGCTGCGGTTGTAGGCAGAGGTGCTCGGATTTAGGGCAGGGGTTGGGGTGCTCGTGCTGAAGTTGGAGTAGCGCTGAAGTTGGAGTAGCGTGAAGCAGCGTGATTGGTGAGAGCTGATGGGCTGATGTGTATGCGGCCAAAAATCCCTGCCTGTAGTAGAAGAAGAGTATAAAAATGACCAAAAAATATATGGAGTGGTATATTTTTTTTAAAAAAGACTTTGCATTATTTAACATGTGTGAATTTATTTAAACATTAGACTCTCTTGGTAATTCTTAAATTAACCTCAGGGAAAGGTTAAAGAAACCTGATTTAAACATTTTTTTGTAAAGCAATTAGAATTCCAACAGAAAACACGGAATTCATTCTGCACCTCCCCATTTTTATGTCCTGTGATTAAGTAAAAACAACATGGCTTTTAATCTCAGAACTTCTTTATATTTTTCTAATAAGTTTGCCAGTATTGGCCTACAAATGTTTTTTAAAGTATATGTATTTTGATATTTTGATATTGTAGCATTTGTATCAAAATTTTGATATTGTAGCATTTGGTGTAACATTTCTTTTTACCTAGTGTGAAACCCCAAATTGGAATTCCTAATCTCTTTTTATTGTGCTCATTTTATTTACTTGGCAGCAGAGCCCCTTACTGCTTAATTTGCTGTCTGTGTTAAGTCTCAGTTGAAGTAATTTAAAAGTGAATGGGCTCTTTTCAGGAGTTAAACGAAATGTTAGTGTTTGATGCCTGCCTTAGGTACAGGTCATGTGAGACCCCAGAGTGTAGAAGTCTCATAAATGTGGGCTGCGGGGCTCAAATGATTTATCTTTAGGATTCTAGGCTTTTAAGCATCATTTCCTACAACAGACATTTCTATAAACAAAACAGGATTATAAATCAGATAGGCGCTGATTGGTGACTCTCTTAGAAAAACCATACTCCGTGTAAATTCGTTTTTTATATGTAACTGTAACTTTTGCACTTATCTGGATATTTTGCTCCCATATTTTCATATAGCATTTTAACATTTAACATAGTAGTCTCCCTCTGCTGCAAGGAGTCAGCCTCTATTTAAAGGAGCAAGACATTGTGTTCATCTTCTATTCACTTTAATTATTAGTTCATGTTTTATAATGACAGTGCATGTCAAGACAAAAAATGGGTACATCTTTTAAGAACTTAGATCCTATTTGACTTTTAGTGATTCTCTGAAACATGTTCTTTGTGTGTTGTTGGTATTTCTATTTTTTATTGTTTTCTTTTAGGACAAAAAAATTAAGCTTGGCTTTCCAAGCGAGTAATAGCCATGAAAATTAGCAATTTGTGATAAAATAACAAATATCTTCCTAAGATTTTTTATATTTTCAGTCTATCCTGTAAACAGAATGTTTTTTTCTCTCCGCTCTAGGACAAAGTGCGAACAGAAAGTTACCGAGATTTTATATACCAAAATCCACATATCTTCAAAGACAAGGTGAGTAGCACAGGCTACAGAATTGGACATTTCATGTGGATCTTGGGTAGTAGAAGTCCTCCCTCGGGCCGTCATTGTGTTAGCAGTTGATGTAGTGCAGTCTGGCTTTATGTCATGGAAGACTTTTACGGTGCTGCTCTGCAGTGCAGAGTACCGACTGCAGACATGCTCGCTGGTGCTGTCATTCAGTACACTGATTTTTTAAATTGGAATTCGTTAATTACAGTGACATGGCTTAGTGAAACTTTGCTTATCCAGATTATGTTGCTTAAACCATATTTTTGATTTACTGTGATTCCTGTGAATTTCATGTATCAGATAAGCCCCATACCAAAGCATACTTTTAATGATTATTGTAGTTTGTGTTAATTAGTTAAAAATTGATAATTTTAGGAAGTTATTAGTAATAAGTAGGGTCAAATATTGTAAGGTAGAACTTGTTTTAGGTGCTTTCTTTTAAGATCTCATTTACTCCTTTATGAGACAGTTTATATCTTACAGTTAGTCTTAGTACTGTTTCAGGTTATTTCAAAGATGAAATTTCACAGTGTGTGTGTGTGTGTGTGTGTGTGTGTGTGTGTGTGTGTCTGTTTGAAATTTGTGTCATTTATTTTTCCTCCCTTGTGAATTGTATTTATTTTTTTCTTCTTTACTTCCTCCTTCCTTCCCTTTCTGCTATGGCATGTTTACCTAAAAGTTCAGTGTTACTGTCTGTTCTTCCTTATTGGAAATTAGTCCACTAATTTAGTCAAATATCATCTCTACCACATATATACCTTTGGGAATTTTCCTGACTTTTTCCAAATCAAGAACATGTATATTGTTAACATACCAGCTTTTTATAATTCCCCTTTCACCTTTATTTTAAAAGGTGCTTCTTCAAGCTATTTCATAAGCTTCACATGACATTGCAGCAATAGCTAACAATTTTTATATTTTGAAAAATTTCTTTTCTTGATTCTTATGTTCTTTAGAATATAATACAGGCTAAGTAGAGACTAAGAATTTTTTTTATATAGTTGGCTTTTGTACTTACACTCAAGTTCTGGAACAATTTATCTTATATATCTAAAAAAACCCTTTGTTTTCAGTGAAGCAAATATATTACTATTAAAAATTTCACTTTATATTTATAGTTAGGTTATGTCCAGATTTTTATTTTATCTTTTCATTAATATGTTGTAGAGAAATTAAGCATGTGCTGGTCTGGGCATCATTAGTCCTGCCTGGCGTCTCCAGAACCAGATATATAATAACTTTAGATAAGTAGTGGATCTCTTTAGGCGTCATCTGTAAAATGGAATCATTTTAACCCCTCTGGGTCAAAAATTTTATGATTTTTTTAAATTGCAGAATCATGGTCTTTGATCTGTCTTTTCTTAATGCTTTTTGATATGAATATCATAAGAATTCGTTAAGTAAAATTAAGTTAGAAGTTTCTTTTTCTGTATGCTTCTGAATATTTTGTCTTATGTAAGAATATACTGAAAAGGCACAAATACATTTAAAAAAATTTTTAATGTTTATTTTTGAGAGAGAGAGAGAGACAGACAGAGGACGGGGGTGGGGATGGGCAGAGAGAGGGGGAAACATAGAATGTGAAGCAGGCTCCAGGCTCCAAGCTGTCAGCACAGGGCCTGACACAGGGCTTGAACTCACAGACTGTGAGATCAGTCTGACCTGAGCCAAAATCGGACACTTAATCAACTGAGCCACCCAGGCACCCTGAAAAAGCACTAATATTTATAAGCAGATTCATCATTGAGAAATTAAATAATTCTTTATATTTCAATGTATATGGAATGAATCTTACGAGGTTTATTGACTTATATAGTCACTTTCTGCTTCTAGTTTATTATTCGTAACAGTATTATAGAAATGTTATGTATAGGAGGTGTCTGGGTGGCTCAGTCAGTTATGCGTCTGACTCTTGATCTAGGCTCAGGCCATGATCTCATGGTTTTTGAGTTTGAGCCCCAAGCCCCATGTCACATTCTGTGTGGGCAGTGCAGAGTCTGCTTGATATTCTCTCTCTCTCTCTGCTCCTCCTTTGCTCTCTCATGGTCTCTTTTTCTCTCTCTAAAAATAAATGAAAACTCTTTAATACACAAAAAAAAGAAATGTTATGTTTTCAGACAGAATACATGCCTATGGAAAATAATAATATTTCAGTTATTTTGTGTTTTACTTACTGTTCTTACTGAAGACATTAACTCTGCCAAAATCAGGAAACAGCTTATTAATAAGTTGGGAGCGTTTTTCCTTAACACTTTGTCTAAAATGCTTTCGTTTAAGTTATGTGTGATTAGTTTTGCTTGGCACTTATAATAGCTTTCGTATTTTTTAAATGATTTGTGATACTTTATTATGCTACGGTTACAGAATTAGAAAATACTTTACCATATATTTAAGTAGCGTTTGATAATTTATAGATTGCTTTCAAACATGCTGTCTCCTTATTACTATACAATATACTTGTAACAGGGCAGGGCAAGTATTTATCTCCTTTTGCACATGTAGATATTTGAGGCCAGTAGATTAATTACACTGAAACAGGCAACTGAAACAAAAACAATTTACTCCTTGTTTCGTGCCCTTAACCATGTGCTGCTACACTTAAACTCCATTATATTAAAAATAGAATGAGTGATTAGGGTAGGATGCATTAATTACATTTTAAGTCACATTATTTTCTATGTATAGGCTGTATGATTTCTGTGTGCCATGACAGAATATAGTCATAAAATTTTTTAAATCTAATTCTTTTTAAAAATGTATTAAATCACTTGTTTTCCTAAGTTTTATTACCATTGTTTCTGTTTGCTTTTATTCCCCATCAGGTAGTCAAACTTCATACACTAGCTCCTATATTGTATTATGTAGTGCATAGTAGAGATTTATTTTTCAAAAAGGTACTAATAGTTAAAAATGTGTTTTTTCCTCTTTTTCTTCTCTTCTTCCTCCTTCCCTTGCTTCCTGCTTCCTTTCCTTGGTTTCTTTTCTTTTTTTTTTTTTTTTTTAAGTTTATTTATTTTGACAGAAAGAGAGAGAGAGAGTATGTACATGAGCAGGGGAGGAGCAGAGAGAGGGAGAGCAAGAGAAAATCCCAAGCAGGCTCCACACTATCAGTGCAGAGCAGGGTTCCGTCCAGCCAACCCTGAAATCGTGACATACTGAAGCCAAAATCAAGAGTTGGAAGCTCAACTGACTGAGCCACCCAGGCGCCGCCCCTCCTTCATTTCTTTCTCAATATTGTTTCCATTCACAAAGCTCCTGTGGAGGCCATATGGTTTCTCAGATTTAATTTAACTTTGTGTGGCATTTAATCGTGTTATCACCCACTCATAATTAATTTCTATTTGTAGTCCATTGAAGAAATTCACAGTGAGGTGCCTTCTCTATGCTTTTGATTATTATCCACAGTTAAATAGATTCACTTTTTTTTTTAGAAGTGAATCAAATTCCTTCATCATTTTATAAAATAATGCTGGTTTATTCTGTTCATTTCTACCTTCCTCTGATTTGTTTTACTTTCTTACCTAATTAGCTAATTTTGAGCTAGATGTAATATATAATTAATATATAATTAAAAAAATATTTTAAATATGTTTTAGAAGCAGATTGACCTTTGCATGCTAGCTTTATAAATTACCAGCTATATAATCTGGGACCTGTTAACCTTCCCTCTCTCAAGCTCTCTCACTTTCCTTGTGTGCAAGATGAGAATTAAATAAGACATATATATATAAATTATATATGTGTGTGTGTGTGTGTGTGTGTATGTATGTGTTACAAAAGAACACATACTCTAATTGAAGTATATGACATATATCCTTCTCTACTTAGCATTCTTACTCAGCAACTTTTCTTAGAGATGATTCTTTATCATCTTTCTTTTCATGGCTCATATGTCCAATGTAAGAATGTGTCCATAAGTTGTAAGTTGTAAATTTTAATATTAGAAACAATGCATATAAAAATATAAAATATTTAAAATTCTTTAAATATATGTGAGAGTATAGTAATAAGATAAAATCCTAACAGGGGACTTCCTGAGTCAAAAAAGTAATTTATGAGGTGCATAGGTGGTTTAGTCAGTTGAGCATCTGACTCTTGATTTTGACTCAGGTCATGGTCTCATGGCCCTGAGGTTGAGCCCCGTGTCAGGCTCAGTGTGGAGTGGAGCCTGCTTGGGATTTTCTCTCTCTCCCTCTCTCTCTGCCCCTCCCCCACTTGCTGACAGTGCGAGCCTGCTTCAGATTCTCTGTCCCTACACCCACCCCTACCCCTCTATCTCCCTCTCCTGTTCTCTGTCTCTCTCTCTATCCCTTCTCAAAACTAAATAAACTTAAAAAAAAGTATATTAATGAAACCATAAATGTACTAGAAGAAAATGTATGAGGATGAAATAGAAATAGGGGAGAATAGGGGGAAGGTCAGTCTAATTACAATCACAATTCGGTAGGAAGCCATAAAAGAAATGATTAATGAGTTTTACTATAAGTAAAGAATATCTGCATAGCAAAAATCACTGTCAGCAGAATCAAAATACAGAATTATATGCTGAGAGAAACCTTGCAGGTTATAGAGGTCTTATCTCCTTCACTTACAAAGAACTGTTATTTGATAAGATTTGTTAAGAAAATTTTGATTAGAGGGGCACCTGGTTGGCTTAGTCGGTTAAGCGTCCGACTTTCGCTTAGGTCATGATCTCGCGGTTCGTGGGTTCGAGCCCCGCGTCGGGCTCTGTGCTGACTGCCAGCTCAGAGCCTGGAGCCTGTTTCAGAGTCTGTGACTCCCTCTCTCTCTGACCCTCCCCTGCTCATGCTGTCTCTCTCTCCCAGAAATAAATAAAACGTTTAGAAAAAAAAAAAAGAAAATTTTGATTAGAAATTTCATAAGAAAAAGACTAACAGCTCTGTGGAAAAATAGAGAAAGAATATAAGTAGATATTTTATGTAAAAAGAACTACAGATGGGTCTACAACGTATGGAATGATGCTAGACCTCATGATAATGGAAATGCATGTTATAACTAGGCTAGTATATCATAATTTTGTACTTGCAAGATTGGCAAAAAGTCAAAAGTTTGATGGTATGATCCGTAGGCTAGTCTCACCTGTAAGGACATCAGCACTTAACCATTGCTGGTTAGAGTCCCCGTGAGTAGAATTGCCCTATGGAAGGTAACTTGGTTATGTCTGGCACAATTATAAATATGCATATTCTCTCTTGCACAATATTTTCACTTCTAGGAATATATTCTGTAGGTTGACTCATGTGTGAATGGGGTTAGATATAAGACTGTATTTACAGTATTAATTGTCATAGTAAACTTTGAAACTACCTAAATGTCTGTCAGTAGAGAACTAAATCGGTAGATTATGGTATAGTCATAATATTGAGTCCTATATACACCTATGTGAGAGAAAGAAGTTCTGTAAACTGACACAGAAAGATCCTTACATTACATTGTTAAATACGAAAAGCGGTGTGTAGCGAATGCAGTGGCATAATATGCTTCCATTTATGTAAAAAGGGGGAGGAAAAATTTGTTACATAATCTTTACATAAAAATTCTGTTGAAGGATAAATAAGAAATACAGTTTTTGATGTTAAACTATGTGGTTGTATTACCGAGTTGAAGAATAAAGTAATGTTAAAGTTTAATAGATTCTTAATTCTAGTTCTGTTGTTCTTACAGTAGCTTCCCATTACTCAGAATAAAATCCAAAGGCTCTGTGTGACCTGGCCCCTGCTTAACCCTCATCTCACTACCAAGCAACCTTTCCTCACCCAGCTCGGCCACACTGGTCTTCTTGCTTTGCCTGGAATCTTGTGCCTTGCTTTTAATACCCTCCATGGGCTTGGAAGACACTCCTCCACATCTCTACGTGGCCTACTCCTTTACTTCAGTCAGTTTCTGCTCACATATATCAGAGATGTGTTCACAGACCTATTTAAAATTCTAAAATTTTAAATCCCCTCTTCCCTGCTCTAACTTCTGTTCTGGTGCTTGAGTTTTCTTTATAACACTACTACCTGACCTTATTTTGTATTTGTTTAATTTGTTGTCTGTAGCTCCTTTAAGACAGAGGCTTGGTCTTGTGTGTTACTGTCCCCCATCACTGTGATTGTGCTTGCACTTAGGAATGCTCAGCAAATATTTATAGGAGAATATTGACATACTTTCACATTTTGAGATAAGTCCATTGGATTTTAGGCCATTGATATTGAAAGATTTAAGGCACTGCAGATTTCAGGAATTTCACAGAATACTATACCTCTTGAGTATTTTGCTTAATGTGTTTCCTCAATAATTTGTTTCTGTTTTTTACTTTGAATGGAACAGCTTCCACTGTACTATCCTGGAAATAACCTGCAATTCCTTTTTTTTTTTTTTTTTACAAATAGTTTATTGTCAAATTAGTTTCCACATAACACTCAGTGCTCATCCCCAAAGTGCCCTCCTCCATGCCCATCCCCCCCTTCCCCCCACTCTTCCTTTAATTCCTTAAGGAAAATAGTGTTTATTTTATAAAGTCACTGTTTTCTGCCAATGTTAGNCCTCAGTTAAGTTCCTCCTAATCCTCCTGTACGTGCAAACATGTGATATTTGTCCTTCTCTGCCTGACTTATTTCGCTCAGCAGAACACCCTCAAGGTCCATCCATGTTGCTACACATGGCCGGATTTCATTGTTTCTCATTGCCATGTAGTATTCCATAATAACCTGCAATTCTTGATTTAGAAATAATGCTTTCTACCTGTCCCCAATATCATCTTAAACTTTGGTTCTTTCTACCTTCATCATTGATCTTGAGTATTACTTTAAAAAACTTATATTCTGAGAAGGCTGAATTCTAGAAGCAATTTGTTTTTGTTATACCATGTATTGTTTAAGTGAGTTGAATATTTAATTTTGGAAATGGAGGGGAGATGGCAATATTCTACATCTAAGATTCCTTTTTGAGCATTTTTTAGTTGTATTGGATCGGGCTCTCCTGCTTAAGTTAATTCTTGCCTCTCAAACTTGAGAAAATTTATTTCTGCTACAATTTAGAATTACTAAGCCTAAATTAGGGCATGCATACAATGGAAAAATTAAAAATAGAGAATACTTCCCTATTAAGTCTGTTGAAATTACTTATTTCCTAAAAGACATCTCTTAATTTACATTGTTGCAGCTGATTGTAGCAGAATGTGGCAAAAAAAAAAAAAACCCACAAAAACCTGTTAAGAATTTAAAACAAGTTGGAGTGCAAACAGCTTGGGGCGCCTGGCAGGCTCAGTTGGTAGAGCATAGGACTCTTGATCTTGGGGTCATAAGTTCAAGCTCTATGCTGAGTGCAGAGCTTATGTGAAAAAAAAAAAAAGAAAAATTTAGAACAACTCATTGTATTGATATCTTCAGTTTCTTCAAATAGAAAGAAATTATTAGACTTTTAAGTTCTAATTAATTAGAACTTAAAATATTAGATCTTTTCAATAATATCTGTTTTTTTGTTTTTTTTTTTATTCCAGGTAGTTCTGGATGTTGGCTGTGGAACTGGAATTCTCTCTATGTTTGCAGCTAAAGCTGGGGCAAAGAAGGTTCTTGGAGTTGATCAATCTGAAATACTTTACCAGGCAATGGATATCATAAGGTAGATGTATTTTAAGGGTTGATTTTAAATTATTTTTAAACATGATGATTAACAGTCTTGTTGTCATTAATGGCTGTCTCATGTAGACTCAGCACATTTGTCTTTTAGTAAAAATTCATTCTAGAATAATAGGATTTTAGGTCATACTCAGCCAGACATGTTTGAGCTATGAATAATCTCTTCACAGTTCTCATTGATACAAATTATTTTTATAGAATCTCCTGTCTTTCCAATTATGATTATGAATACGCTAATTATAATACAGAATTAGAGAGGTGCCTGGGTGGTTTGCTCAGGTCATGATCCCAGGGTCATGGGATAGGGCTCCCCATTGAGCTCTGCTCTGAACGTGGAGCCTGCTTAAGATTCTCTCTTTCCCTCTGCCCTTCTCCCCAGCTCGTATATGCACATGATTTCACTTCCTCTCTCTCTCTCAAGTAAAAAAGGATTAAAAATAGTAATACGAAATTAGAAATCATTGACATCAGGTAATATTGTTAGAGGACTCTGCATAACTGAATATTTCAGTTCTGTTTCTTTTAGCAAATAGTGATCACATTAAAGACCAAGGGTTATCTTTTTTTTTTTTTTTATAGCACTAACCTTTGTGTCTCCAAATTAAAATAAGTAAATTCAAGAATGACTATAAACAAAGCAAAGTGGATTCACCTTATCCCCTAAAACTTAATTTTATTCTCTAAAAGTATTTCCTATTTCTGAGGAGTTAAGTTAGGTTAATGAATCAAGGATGGATTTTATGACTGGCTTATATCATAGTAAGAAGGTCTTTATTCGAATTACAGCTTATAGAACTAGATTTCTTTAGCTGTGTACTTAAAAGCACCACAAAAGCGCCTTACATTTGGAACTTAGGAGTAATTTCCAGAGTAAATCACTAATAGGAGCTTCTCAGTAATTCTTGTTTTCTCCTCAGATTTATTGAGATAGAATTGACACATAGCATTGTATAAATGTAAGATACATATTGTGTTGCATTGATACTTTTATGTATTGCAGAATGATTACCACCATAGCATTAGCTAACCGCCCCTCCCCATTGCATCTCATAATTACCATCTCTTTTTGTGTGTGGTGAGAACATTTAAGAGCTATGCTCTTAGCAACCTTCAAGTGTATAAATACAATATTACTAACTATAATCACCATGCATTAGTTAAAACCCCAACAATTTTTTAAATGTTTATTTATTTATTTTTTTTAATAGTTTATTGTCAAGTTGGTTTCCATATAACACCCAGTGCTCATCCCCACAGGTGCCCTCCTCCATGCCCATCCCTCCCCTCACCTCCCCCTCCCCAACAACAATTCTTAAGTGTCCTCCCATTGACACTTATGTTCTGTTCTTAAAATTGATTAATGTTAATTCTTCCTCATTAACATTAAATATAATTATGATGTTTAAGTTTTTAGGTATTACTGCATAATGTAGAAGTGTAGTGTTGTGGTTAAGAGTACAAGGTTTAGGGGCACGTGGGTGGCTTAGTCAGTTAAGCGTCCGACTCTACCTCAGGTCATGATCTCACGGTTTGTGGGTTCAAGCCCCTTGTCTGGTTCTGTGCTGACCGCTCAGAGCCTGGAGCCTGCTTCAGATTCTGTGTCTCCCTCTCTCTCTGCCCCTTCTCACTTGTACTCTGTCTCTCTCTCTCTCAAAAACAATAAATAAACATTAAAAAAAATTTTTTTAAATGAGTATAAGGTTTAAGTCAGGATTGGCTTGAATCTGTACTCTCTGACTTACCAGTTATTTGAACTTAAGTTAAATTATATCTAATCTTTTTGAAACCTCAGTTGTTCCACTCTTTTTTTTTTTTTTTAATGTTTTATTTATTTCTAGGGGAGAGAGAGAGAGAGAGAGACAGCGTGAGCAGGGAAGGGTCAGAGAGAGAGTCACAGACTGAAACAGGCTCCAGGCTCTGAGCTGGCAGTCAGCACAGAGCCCGAAGCGGGGCTCGAACCCACGAACTGCGAGATCATGACCTAAGCGAAAGTCGGACGCTTAACCAACTAAGCCACCCAGGCGCCCCATCAGTTGTTCCACTCTTAAAATAAAAATAATATTGACTGCCTCATATGATTATGAGCAAAAATATAAGTTGTAAGTAAGATATACATATAAATCTCTTTGGCATATTGCTTGACACATAATAGGTATTTGAAAGTTACCTACTATTATTATTTACAAGTGCCAAATTGATATTAATGAAAAACTTACATTGATCTTGCTTAGATTTTTCATAGATCCTAGGTTTGTGATTACGATTTTCTTTCTTTAAAAGTTCATTTATTTATTTGGAGAGAGAGAGAACATGCGGGGGTGGAGCAGAGAGAGGAAAGCAGAGAATCCTAAACAGGCTCTGCACTGTCAGCACAGAGCTTGACATGGGGCTCCATCCCAGAACCCTAAGATCATGACCTGAGCTGAAATCAAGAGTTGGATGCCTAACCCATTGAACCACTCAGGCACCCCTGTGGTTATGATTTTCATATTGGAGAATATGCATATGTGTTGTCACTCTATAATCTGGTAAAGTTTTTCCTGGTTCTTATGGTACCATTATGAATATCTTCATCATCTTTGAGGTTCCGTAAAGAGTAGCTTCACTTGCTTGTACTTTGCCATACAAACAAATATGAGAAACACTAAAGAAGATATTGTTTTAGAAGAATTATCAAAAATTTATTGTGGATAGTAAGATTATGGTAAGATATTTCTCTTTTTTTTTTTTTTTTTTTTTTGAGAGAGGAAGTATAAGCAGGGAGGGGCAAAGGGAGAGGGTCAGGTCAGGCAGGCTCTATTCCTAGTGCAAAGCCACACCTGGGGTTTGATCCCATAACTGGGAAACCATGACTGAGCCAAAATCAAGAGTCAGATGTTCACCCAGCTGAGCCACCCAGGCACCCTGGTAAGAAATTTCTATTAGAAGCCTGATCTTATAAAAGATCGTGTCTATTTACATATTTGTCATTTTTGGCTTCTATGAAGTGAGGCTAGCTGTGTTCTCATTTTCATTCTTTTATAGAAGAAAAGAAAAAGAATAGTAGTAACACTTATTTTGTATTGCTTTGTTTCATTTTATTTCACGTAAGATTCCTAGTGGCTTTTTAGAAATATCCTGTATAGTGATTATATTCGAATTCATTGTGTATAAATTTAGTGCTGCCATGTATGGAACTTTTGCATAAGAGCATTTATTGAAAATGACTTAGTACTCAATTTTAGGTGCTTGATTTTAGTAATAAAAATTGCTAACGTTGGGGCGCCTGGGTGGCTTAGTCGGTTAAGCGTCCGACTTTTGCTTAGGTCATGATCTTGCGGTTCGTGGGTTCGAGTCCCGCGTCGGTCTCTGTGCTGACTGCCAGCTCAGAGCCTGGAGCCTGTTACAGTCTGTGACTCCCTCTCTCTCTGACCCTACCCTGTTCACGCTGTCTCTCTCTCTCTCCTAGAAATAAATAAAGCATTTTAAAAAAAAATTGCTAACGTTAATTTAGTACTCTATTGAGTTTCCTTTGAAGTACATATAATTACAATGTATTGTTATCCTTATTACAGAGATTAAGAAATTGAGGCAGAGAGATTAAGTTACTCTCCTTACTTGTAGTGGAGCCAGAATTAGCTCCCAGGCAGCCCGACTCAATAGTTCATACTCACAGCCAATTTACTATATGTATCTGCCTTTCACCACTTACAGGGCATGTGTCAGTTGCAGTTAATCGTTTGCTTTATGTGAAATCTGTAGACTTTGAGGGATGCCTGGATGGCTCAGTCAGTTAAGCATCCAACTCTTGATTTCAGCTCAGGTCATGATTTATCTCATGGTTCATGAGTTTGAGTCCTACGTCAGTCTCTGTGCTGACAGTGTGGAGCCTGCTTGGGGTTCTCTCTTTTTGCCTCTCTACCCATCCCCCACTCGTGTGCACTTGCACACAGATGCTTATTCTCTCTCTCCCTGTCAAAAAAAAAAAATCTATAGAGTTTGAAAATCAGACCTTTTTGCTTTAGATAAGTTCTGTTTTGGAAAGCCAACTTTATACTATTTCTTCAGAGATACTATCCATTGCCTATTTTATATTGTGAAAAAGTTACTTCTATAGTGTCTATGAGCATCTCTCCCTTGTTTTCCATGTAAAAATTTGAAATTCATACTTGGGTAAAATAACTTCTGTCCTTCTGTTTGTAAATGTGTCTATAAAAGGGTATGCAGGAAACAGTTTACCATTCATATTCCCACAATTTACTGGCTCATCATTCTACCAGTTGATGAGGCGTATAGCATATTCCTCTCAGCATCTGGAATCACACAGCTCGATTTCTGATTTTGGCTTTTTGATTAATTAGCTATATAATAATGGGAAAATTACTTAAATTCTTTAATCTCTGGTTTTCTTCATTTATAAAGTGAGGTTGATGGTGGTATCTGTCTTAAGACTGTTATAAGGATTGAATCCATTTACGGTGCTTTGCAACATGGCTGGCCTGTAACTGCTTATTAAATTTTAGCAGTAAATCGTATTAGTAGTAATAGTGGTATATTTAGCTTGGCACTAGTGCCCCAAATAATATTTTATATTTGTTTGGTTTTATTTCTAAAATAATCATTTGGGGTGCCTAGCAGGTTCAATGAGTGGGCATGTGGCGCTTGATCCCAGGGTTGTAGATATGAGCCCCATAGTGGGTGTAGAGATTGCTTGAAAAAACAAAATCTGAAAACATAATAATAATCATAATAATAATAATAAATAAAAATAATCATTTATTGTAGTTTCTCCCCCCACCCCCCAAAATATGATGGCTCTCTGCATTTTTCCAGTTGCTCACAGTTTACTCTCTTATGCCTTAAAACTTATAGATTTGGCCAATTTCTTTTCTGTGCTGACTCTCTTTCCTTGAAATCTACTCTCAACTTCTCTTATGCGTTTCTCCATTGTACATTGGAGCCTTCTACAAGTATCGTCAGTCAGTGAAGAGAGCTCTTCCATTT